CCCTTCCCCCCCTGTGACTTCTTCGTAACAAAAAAAAACCCTAATTCATAACAGATTACTTACTCCCTCCTCAAAATACTGACCTTTACTTACTAAAAGTATTGTAAATCCCCCTTTATCCATACATTTCAGAAAAGAAGAGAAAAAAAAAACAAAAAAAAAACAAACACATTATACTATAACTATTATAAAATAACTTCTAATTTAGCATAATAGTGTTTTATATCTATGCATTATTGCAACAATTCAAAACCACCTTCCACTTTAAAACTATACAATAAGTCCTACTTTAATAACATTTCAAAGCGGGCTCCCCATAGAATCTAATTTAACATTTATTCCACTCTATCCATTTCCTCCACTCCCCTAAATGTATCACTTAAAAATCCCTTTTCTTAAACTAATCAGTCTGTAGCTAGCTTATTCACCCACTGTCTTACAAATTTACCATACACAACAATTCTTGATATCTTTAATTCACTGCCCACACTACTTAAAAATATATATATATATATATTCCATTATATCTAAATAAAAAAAGAAAAGACAATAACTTTAAATTTATAGTCCATATAATATCTTCTTGAAGTCTTTCCACTGGATTGTTAAAACCAACATCCATAATAGGGTGACATAGCTTGCGGATGCAACAGTTTATTCAAGATCTCCAATCATATCTGCCCCCATCAGTAGTAAACATCTTCTTATATATATAAAAGTAAAAACAACCACCCGAGTGACATTATAATTGTATTCCATATAATAATAATTGTGGGTTTCATCAGGATTATTAATTTCCATCATCGTATTGGGTAACAACCCGATCTTCTGCATGTCCCAATGTGATTCTCTTGCCTTATAATTCAAGATAATTATAATATATTTATCAACACAAAAAGAAGTTTCAAAGTAGATAATTCAAAACCATCAATTTGAGGCTCTTTCCATGTCCCAAAATTACGGCAATGCAGAGATCTGCCACTATCCTCAGGATGATATTGACCAATATGTCGCCTCCTCTATGTTTTCACATAATCATTCATATTTTAAAATCACTGGCTTCACTGTTGCTTGGGTTAGAAATTTCTATTTTTGTACAACCTATTTCTTTTTTTGTTTTCTTTTTGTGGGTTTGACCTCCATCCTAATTTTTTGTGTCTCGCATTTCTTTTTTATCCCTTGTATATCCTCTAATTGGTTTCCATGCTTGTCCTTGCCTTGATAAGTCATCACATTAAAATCAGATGGCACTTCTCTCAAATTTGTAGATAATCCAGCTGGGGTATCCGATAAATCCAAAGGCAATTTATCTGGTACAGTCTCTGTCTTTAGTTCCAGCTCCTTCTGCTTATCCTGTATTATATCTGAAGACGTTAAATTCATTTTCAACCTATTTTGATAAAATTCTTCCGCTCTTTCAACAGTATTTAACTGGTATCTTTCTCCTTGATATCTCAATATAATACCAACTGGGACGTCCCACCGGAATTGAATATTTCTCCTTTTTAACTCAGACACCAGAAAGCCAAATTTCTTCCTTTCCATTAATATCTTAGGTGGGAGTTCCTTGTAAATCCAAATCTTTCTTCCATACAATTGCAAATTAGAATTGAAGGAATTTTGCACAATTTTATTCCTAATTTCTTTATCTGAAAAATAGATTACCACATCTCTAGGCAATTGCCTTTGCTTGGCAGTCCAGGAGTTTATTCGATAAGCTCTGTCAATCCTACAAAACACTTCCTCAGGTTGAATCTTTAAAATCCCAGCTAGAAATTCAGAAGATATTTTCCTTAAGTCATCTCTGTTATTTTCCTGCAAACCTCTAAGTCTTATTGCATATTCTGTGAAATTGTATTGTATCTTTAGAACCTCTTTTTGAATCCTCTGTTGCAGATATTCTACATTACCAGACTTTTGGTCAGCATCCATTTTAAGTTTTTCTTCTGAACTATAATCCTGAATATTTAACAAATCATTTTCAATTTTTTGAATTCTATTGTCCAATTTATCTTGAATTTCATCCATTTTTGACTCTAGTAAATTAGTATTTGTATCCAACCGAATCATGAATTCTGACAATTTTAAAATTTTTTGCTGCAAAAAGTCAAACTTAGATTTCACCAATTCCTTAGTTTCCTGCTTAAATTTTTCAAGTTGCTGATTCACAATCTCATCCCTTCTTTCAATCTCCTCTAAGAGAAATTCTATTATATTAAAATCAGGTTTCTGGGACTGAAGAGTTAAAACTTGTTCCTTTAAATTCTTAGTGGGGGAATCCCCCCCACCTATTTGTTTGTCTAACTTCACAAGCCTCAGTGCCATGTTTCCGCCTAAGCAGGCTTTGTTAGAAAAAAAAAAAAAAAAAAAAAAACAAGACAAAAGACTTCCAGCCAGCAACAATGCCTCCAGGGAAAAAAGAGAAAAACAAAAACAGGAGCGGAGTTTTGTCTACAAATGTAGCCAGTGGTATTAAGAACTTTCCCTCTCAAACTCTTCTCCAGCCGCGGCAGACGCCATTTTAAAAAGAAACTTTTTTCCTCTTTCTCTTCCTCTATTCTCTTAAGTAATTTTTAAAAGATAAGTAAAATACTTGCGCTTCAGTATTACAGGTCCAGCTCACATTTTCTTTGAGTAATCTGTCAAATTCGCAGGCTTGCTTTTGACGCCTGGCTCTGCATTAGCAGAGGTCTCCCAAAGCCCGGAGCAGCGGCTGGGGATATGGGGCATCTCATCCGCTCCATCCCAAAAGTAAAAGAAAAACTTTTGGGACTCTGCAGAGAGTTCTACCCACCCCTGCCGGCTCTATCTCCGTTTCCTCATGGGAACGGAGTTTTTTCGAGCCGCCGTTCCGTTGTGAAGGCGGCTCTAACAGGCAGTGGAAGCTGACGATCCCAAAGGAACGTCTGGCGGCGGCCAGCAGCAAACAGGAAGAAATGTTTTTCTTATGGGAGTTAAGCCTTTGTTAAATAATGACTAAATGAGTATAATAGTATAAAGAGACATACAAAACTGATAAATAAGAGAAATTAAATAATTGGTAATTTTGAATATGGGATTGTGCACAAAAGAATTTTAACCGATCGACACACTTTCTGTGATTGTATTTGAATGATGGTGGTTTTATGTTTTGTTTTTGTTTTAAATAAAAAAAAATTTAAAAAGAAAGAAAAGAAAATGGAATGAGAGTTTCAGTCAGTTGTTTGTCAGGTTTTTCCTTCAGTCTTCTGCATACAGATGACAGACAATCGCCTCATTAGAAGGTTGTGCCCAGCCATTTATGAAAGAGGAGAGCCCCTTCGGATCCAGCTTCTTCACAGAGGGGATCCTGGGTTGCCTTCTTTGCAAAGATCCCCACAGCTTTTCTTTGGCTTCCCTGCAACTCCTGGCTGGGTCTGACCTTTCAACACTCATACAGATGCTGCCATCTAGCTGGGCAGCCAGGAATTAAAGGGGGATTATTTCATTTACTTGGAATCAGGGTGAATAGGCTAAATCAAGTTCAGAGGGAAGGGTGATGCATCTCCGTGTGTGAGTTAATTATTTGCACCATTCTAAGTATGGGACAATGTTTTGCTCCTTTTAATATTACTACTACTTGAAAACAAAAAGGCTTTTCGGGTGTTAGTAAGCAAGCAGCAGCTCTATAGAAACGGAATGGGTCATTGTGGCCATTTTGCCACAGCCAACTTGCTGTGGGCGAGCTGGCCACGACCAGTTGGAGGCGATGAGTTGACCTAGCCTAGACCCTTATAGAAACACACAATGTACATACATTTTGGGCAGGGAGGGGGGGCAATCATAGTCTGTTTATCCAAGTATTTTTTTACCCTATTTCCCTTACTCCAGGTGAATTATCCAAGGGGAAGTTCTGTCTGGCATTGCCTATTGAACAGAAACCTTGCAACCCGGCTGTTCCTCCTGCTTAAGATGCCCTCAGAGCCAACTGCTGCAGACCGGAGGACAGCTGCTCTGGCCACCCCAGAAACGCACACCTCCTTTTTGCTCCTGGGATTGTTGAAAACAGCCTCCCATTTCTCAAGGGTGCTTTTTTCAAAAGGCAACCGGACTGTTTTTTTCTTGAGGAAGAAGCCATTTTGCTTCTTATTCAAGAAGCTTCATCAGTCAGAACTGGTGAAGCTTCTTGGACGAGAAACAAAATGTCTTCTTCCTCAAGGAAAAAACGTAACTGCCTTTCAAAAAAGCCCTTTTGAGACAACCATGGCCTGGATAACTGAGAATATCCACAGACATTTAGCCTCCCATTTCAAAGACAAATCACTCTCAATTCTTAACAGGAACGAGGTTGGAATATTTGGATGAGAAACGCTTGCCCACCCTAAACACCGGTAATTTACAGGCTGGGCTGTCTGGTTGGTTGGTTTACCTTGAAGATACATCTCTTCCCCTTCAGCGAACATCTGATTGCACTTATCACAGCAGGCACATGTGGGGTGGTAATGCTTTTCTCCAGCCTGGAAAAGAGGGGGAGGGGGAGCAGGGAAGGAGAAGACTATCAGAGAGGGCACAATCACTTCCTGCCCCCTGAAATGCACTAAAGAGCTGACTCGCAAGGAATACGTGAAACGGCTTCAACACAGCTTCAGGAAGAGGCAGCTTAAAATACGTGAAAGGATTTAAAATTATCCCGGATACCTTCACAGCAGAAATACAGTCGCAACCTTGCTTTACAAAAGGAAATAAAAAGGTTGTAGGAAGTAATTTATCAAAGAGATATCAAAATGTAAAAATATACGCTTTACTGTATTTTGAAATGATGATTTTCTTTTTTTTCCATATTCCTCACTGCTTGCATTTCCCCATCTCCTCTGGTAGGACTTAACAGAATCTATGATCTCCTGGAGCAGGTGCCTGGCCAATTCCTTTCCTCAGCGTGCCCAGTTTCTTCCATCGGCTGCAGTAACTCTTCTGCCAGTGATTTATCTTTTGGCTTTAAATAGCAGGCTGGATTTAGCCTGAGCCTTGGATAGTCACTCTCTGTCTGCAGGGGTTTGCTGGGGCTGAGACACGCCTACCTCCTCCCCCCCCCCAGAGAGAAAAGTCTATCCAAGGCCTAAAAGTCATTTCCTCCCATAGGAGCAGCAGGTAAGGAATGAATGAAGCCAGGCAATGACGGTTGGGGCATTTTCTTTCCAGAGGAGAGGAAGGGTGTGGGGCGGAGAGCCTGCTGCCATGAGCGGACCCCACTGGGTTAGACTTTTCAGGATCCGAGTCATCCCCAATTCTCTGCTCCAAGGTTAAAAAATGGGTTTTAAAAGTTCTATCCTGGACTTAAAAAGTGAGAAAAATGGGGTGGGGGGTGGAAGACAATGAATGGAGTCTCAGGCAAGGGAAGCCCCCTCCCCAATGGCCATCTTCCTTTGCTCGCCTTCCTTGAAATCCTGCAGTGTCCAAGAAGCAGATTTGACTGGAGAAGGAAGAGCAAAAGGACTATCCGAATAAAGATGTCTTCCTTGAGAAATAGGGTCTCTTCTTATTTTTAAATTATATTGAACAAAACTTCTGATACTGTGATGGAATGTGGTCTGGGTTCCAGGAGGGAGGGGCTGCTTTCCAGAGGCCATGAAACTTGGAAAGTTTGGGTGGCAGGAAGAGCATTAAGAAGGCTCCTCCCCAGCTGTCCTCAGACTGTATCTGTAGTTCTGCCCAGAGTTGCTTCACTCTGGCAAGACTGTCTATAGGTGAAGAAGAATAAGAGAAACTACTCCAAAGTAACTCCATGTGACATTCTTGCCACCTGCCAGATACCTCCCAAATCAAACTCTGCTGCTTTTTCCCTGTTGTGTCTTCCTTCCTTCCTTCCAGCCTTGCCTTACCTCCAAAACTCTCCCAGTGATAAACTTCCCACAACGGTCACACTGGATCCCAAACGTAGTATGATAGTCTCTTTCGCAATATGGAACGCCATCCCTGCAAGGAAGAAAAGACACCCTGCCTCAATGCTGGCTCTCCGGACAGGCTGGCCGCTGGGGGAAAAGTCAGAAGAACCACCATACGTGTCCTTCTAGAGTGAATCGGTCCAATGGCGACAGAAGACGATTCCAAACTTAACTGATAACTTGGAAAACCAAACCAAATTCCTGGCTTTTACATAGCCACGTCCTTTCACACCGCAATTCCATTTTGCCTTTGAAGCGCTATCACTGTGGCGATTCCCAAGTAGACTGGACCTCCCCTTTGCACAAGGCTTTTCTGATGGGGGCAATTTAATTTCCCAAATGAGTCCTAAACTCTCTGGGTTCCGATTCCGCTCGCAGGACAGACTGATTGCCCCATCCTCTCCTTTCCCTACTCCAGTTCCCATGTTCCACCGAAGGGTGAGAGACTCTCTTCCTGCTCTTTGGCCCAGAGGCTACAGGTTGCCCAGCCTCTGCCCTCCACCCACTCCCAGCATCCTGGGAGGCCCTGCGGTGAAGCCATCATACGGAGTGTCATGTCTGTACCCACTTTACCTCAACGGTCACGCAGCACTTCAGAAGACCTGCTGGCCCTTCACAAACGCCAGCCGACCAAACCCGGGTTCCCCACAGGGTGGCCAACTTACTTGCTGATATATTCCCCAGTGAGAAGTTTTCCACAAATCTTGCACTTGAAGCAGGTCAGGTGCCAATGCTTGTCCAACGCCACCAAAGACTGGCCGTTCTTAATTTCAGAGCCACAGTTCCCGCAATCTGCAAAGAAAAAGACGAACGCTGAGAAGCTGCACCTGGGCCTCTCATTCGGCCTTTGGGGATCGGCCAAGACCGGCCAGGGCAGCCCCACAGCTGGACCATTAAGAGCCCATTTATAAAATCTACAGGTCGTCTTCCACTGACGAGCACAGCTGGGACTGGAATTTCAGTCACATAGTAATGCAGCCATGAAGACAGCCTTCGCAGGACGGGACCCGAATTTTCAACCTTTTACCATGGCTGTGAAGTGAATCACCTCTGTCGTTACACTAATCATGTGGCCATTAAGTGAATCATATGGTCATTAAGCAAATCCATCTTTCCCAATGGGCGTTCCTTGTTGGAAACTTGCCAGGAAGGTTGCCAATCACGATCACGTGACTGCATGGAAGCTGCAACCAGTCGCAGCCTTGGAGAAGGCGGTCAATCACTTTTCCCCCCCGGGGCCATTGTAACTCTGAACCATCATGAAGCGAAAGACCATGAAGCCGCTCTAGTCAACCAGGGCTCTGCTCAGAGTTGGGCTAAGCCATTTCATTCCAAAAAGGGGGCAGGGAACGCATGCACGGTCAAAAGCCCCAGTGGCGAGACGTGACTGAATCTGGCCTGGTGGCCGAACAGCTGCTGAAGCCACCCAGAAGAGGGCCGGAGCCGACTAGACAGCAAGGGGGAGGGGAGGGGGCTCTAGAGAAGGGGCTGCTACGGAGAAGGCCTGTGCCTGCCCCATGTCTCGTGGACCTCTCGAGGGGAGGGCCCCGTCCTGAAGATGAAGCCAGGCAGAGCAGAGTGGGAGTCCCGGGGCTGCACCACTGAGCAGCGATCCTCACTCTGAACTGGGCATAAAAGCCTCTGGTAAATCAGGATCCCATCCTATTTTAACCTAAACCGAGTTATCTGGTGAGGAATCTGGCTGCCATGGGCCGTCTCCATCAGCAGCCCCACGTAAGCCACCCAAAGGTTGAAAAGTTACTCTGCGCATCGTTTACTTGACATCAAAGTGGATGCTGTGGACGAGGCAAACATTCAGGGAGGATATTGTCCTTCGGCTGCTAAAAATAGCCGCTTCGCAATAGATCTCGGAAGCCGTGACTTACTTCGGAGGACTGGAAAACTGGCACCAGCCGGGGGCAGAGAACATTTCTGGCAGACGCACTCCTTGCCATTGAAAGTCACCCGGTCCCCAGGAGGAAACGGCTGCCTGCAGGAGGATGCAGAAGCGGCATCACTAAATGGGTCTCTCGACATCCTTTCCCCTTTACATCCCCCCCCCCCGCCACTCCTCTTCAGGAGCTTCTCCCTCCAATCTCCTCCCCCCCGCCCCCCATGGAAATCCTCTGCAGAAGGGATCATTTTTCCTCCCCAACATTCCTTCACTCCCTTTCTTGATCACCCAAATGATTCTGCCCTTCAGATCAGACCAACATTTAACCGTCTTTGCACAGACACACTGAAGGGCTGATGTTCACTTTCTGAAGGTGTATATTTTACACAACCACATCAGCTGGAATGAGAAAACTATAAATGGTCATTCTCTAAGAATCTAAAAAACTGGTTGAACGTCTCTTGCTTAGCACACACTTTCTCCAGAACTCTTCCCCATGTTATCCAAAGCAGGGATGGAGAATAGCACAAGAAATCTCTTCCCACCCACAAATAAACAGCCTGGAGGACTGACACCCTCAGTCACAGATGGGGAAGCAACGCTTCTCCTCCTCTGAGGTTTGGGGAATTCTGGTGTGTTCTGAAAGGCTGCAGCCGAGAGGACAAATTTTCAGAGGAGAGAGGGGAAAAAAGGGAGCATCTCAAAAGCTGACAAACAAGAGCAGGAAAAGGTTTCAGCCAAAGATCTCCGAGACCTTCAGTTTTGCAATCTGGGAGAAAGAAGGTCAAGCAATTCAGAGAGACTTCATGATTTCACTAATAAAGAAGGCCCAGCATTCTGCCTGCCCCATCCGGCATCCTCACCCCTTTTTCTCCTGGCCATTGAATGGGATTCATCACACTTTGGTTGTTGAAAGTCTGGCAAAGAGGCCGGAGGCTTTTGGAGTGACTCTTCCTTTTCTAGTGGGGGGTGGCTGGGTGGCTGGGTGGGCTCTGGGGTTACAGGGACAAAGAAATCTGGGGGGGGCTAGGGGGGGTGGAGACTCACAGCACTTGAGAGCTGAGTTGGGCCACTGGATGGAGGTTTCTGGCTGCCAGGTTTTCCATCAGCAGAGAAGCTTAACTGAAGGAAAGCCGGTTCTTGGATGGAGCCCCAAGTTCTTGTCAGCTGCCCTGGACACTGTCCGGAGCAGCCCCGGGGGAAAACGGATCTGTTTTGGAGTTGCCCATGGCTCTCCGTTTCCCCTGGTCTTCAGAAGAAAGATGCCACCCAAGAACTTACCTGCAGAGCACACACACAAAGCAGTTTGGGTGGTAGGTCTTCCCCAAAGCAGAGACCACCTCGCCCTCAATAAACTCGTCACAGCTGAAGCACCGAGTGCCGTAGAGCCGCTGGTAGTCGGACGTGCAGACGTAATCCCCTTGCCTGACAAAGAAGCCCCCTTGGGCCAAGTCACAGCCGCACGCTGCAATCGAAACAGACCGAGGAGGCTTAAGCAGAAGGCCTCCGTCTCTCAGGCCCAACGCCACGTGGCCTGAGCCGCAGAGGAACAGGCTAAATCAGGGGTCTGCAACCTTAAACACTCATAACCTTAAGCACAGCGCGTGATTTAGTAAACCCGAGAACTCCCCACCCCACCCCCTTTGGCCACCAGTCTCGGAAAAAGGGGATACAACCCATCATTAAAAGCTTAAAGAGCAATAAAGCCCCAGGTGAGGATTTTTTACCAGCAGAATTATTCACGAAATTTCCCAATTGGTGGGGTCCAGTATTGGCAGGTCTTTTTACCCCTATAAGTAACACCTGCCATATACCAGATGGGTGGAAGATGGCAACAGTTGTCCCCATATATAAAAAAAGGAAATAAAAAGGATCCTAGTAATTATAGGCCCATTAGCCTGATTGACATTGTAGCAAAACTATACGCTGGGTTCCTTTTGACCCCCATTTGCTGCTTTTATAGACCTCGCAGCAGCACTGGATAGGGTAAACAGAGAAGTGCCATGGAGTAAACTGACATCTCTTAAAACAGAACCTCGACTGCTGGCTTTGATTAAAGCCCTTCACACAGGTCCCTGTTTGAGGGTGAGGTAGGGGGTTAATGGGGCTCTGACTACAGGATTCACACAAATAAAGGGGTAAGGCAAGGGTGTATCCTGGCCCCATTATTATTTAGTTTATATATCAATGACTTGCCAGGGTTAATGAAGAATCCCATCGTACACATGCCGATGATCCTAAATACTTACTTTTAACAGCTTGCTTTATGCTGATGATATGACTTTATTATCATATTCACTAGTAGGATTACGTAGGCTATTAAGAAGATTCAGCTCTTCTTGCCAGAATAACTCCCTAATCATTAGTAAATCTAAATTGAAAATAATGGTGTTTGGAAAACATCATCAGAGACATAGGTGGCAATTAGATGGTGAACCAATTGAACAGAGGTTGACACCTTTGTATATTTAGGCGTAACCTTTTCCAAGACTGGATCTTGGGCTTCCCATCATCAACGGAGTACACTGAGAGTAAAAGCCCGCCTGAGTTTACTGCTTAAACTAAAGAACCATCGTTACCCAGGGCCCCTAGCCCCATTAATTGAAGTAGATAAAGCTAAGGTTACCCCTGTGCTCTTTGGGGTCTATACTCAACCACAGTCCCAGCATCTGAGACGTATTTTGGGTGTAGATCCAAGAGCATCTGCTGCAGCAGTTAGAGCTGAATTGGGAATTCATACAATTCATGCCCAGGGCGCCTGTGCGTAGCTAAAAATGAACGTATGGTTTCTGGCACGCACATGCGTGCTGAACAGCTAGTCTTCCGGGTTTTTACCACACGTGTGCACGTGACGTTCAGCTGACCGGTGCACATGCTCACGCAGGAAAACGGAAGACCAGCTCTTCCGGTTTCTGGCACTGCCACACACAAAAAGGCCAGTGTCAGCCTTGGGAGCCCTATTAGCACCAGATGCTTCCTGGCTGCCAATTTCTTGCGCTTGGGAAAGTGGGAGGGGGGATTTGGAGGAGACATAAGAGCATTCTTCCCTTGGGTCAAGGTGTTCAGGGTGTTTATGCACCTGGAGGAGGAGTGGTTGCAGTTGGGACGGAGGGTGATTGGGCCATGTGACCGACTGATGGGTGCAGGGGCTGGATTTGGGGTTTTGATTTATTGAGGGAAAACCGGAACTCTCAGATTTGGGTTTTCCCAGATGTTTTCAGTTTCAGTTTCAGTTTATTGAATAGATGTGCCAGTTTACCTTCTCTAATAAATGGAACTTTGACAATTGCCTGCCTCGGAGTTTTTACTTGGAGTTGGGGACTTTCTGAAATGCTGACAGCCAGTTGATAGTCGTGTGCACATGCGTGCCAGTAACCCAGAAGAGGAACGGGCGACACCGCATGGGCCAGTCGACATGGCTCTGCGTGTCACTTTGGGCATGCGTCAGAGGTGGTATTCAGCAGGTTCTGACCAGTTCTGGAGAACCGGTAGCAGAAATTTTGATTAGTTTGGAGAACCGGTAAATACCACCTCTGACTGGCCTCGCCCCCATCTATTCTCTGCTTCCCGAGTCCCAGCTGATTGGGAGGAAATGGGGATTTTGCAGTATCCTTCTCCTGCCACCCCCACCACACCATGCCCACAGAACCGGTAGTAAAAAATTTTGAATCTCACCACTGGCATGTGTGCCATAGGTTCGTCATCACGGGCCTAGACATTGGTATCTGAGCGTGGACCTTTTTAAACATTCATATTTCACTTTGATTTTAATGTAGGCAAGACGTTGATATACATTGTAAGTCCATGTATGTTATGCCATACACTACATTAAATAAATTGCAATCCCCACAGCTGTGCTGGGAGCCACCAGAGACCTTCACAGGACCTGGTGCCTTTCTCAAAGCAACAGACGCATCCCTTGGGCTGCCGCATCACAAACTCTGCATACGACACCACGATGTGTGCACAAAAGGGGCGGGGTTTGCATTGGGACAGCATGGTGCTGCTTTCATCACTGGTGGCATCCCACAGACACCCTTGTCCAGCCCTGCTGGGTCCTCGGGCTGAGTTAGCCTCAAGACAGCCTCTTGCCTCAACTAGGCTTCCTTACCTGAGGACCAGGGTCAGGGAAAGCTTCAGGGAAAGCATGGATGGGATGCTCCAACTGACCCAGGAACCCCCAAGGACTTCAGCTACCTCAAAGTGGAAGAGATCTCGCCTGTGGCCTCCTAGGTGCTCAGCTGAGGCTGGTGGTCATGGGGCCACCAACTCACAAGCGCTTCCCCCCACTGAAGGTTCCCCTGGAGCCAGAAGTCTAAGGGACCAACCGCTAATGAGTCCCGAGACACGAATTTGGGCTGTTTGAAGAGCTGCATTAATTTTTATGAATGGAGGTCTGGCCTGCTCTGCAAAAGGGCTGCGGATCCTCTCCTTAAGGTGCCTGCGTCCGAGCTTAAGCCGATGGCCTGCATTGCTTTTCCGCCACGGGGGCCCCCTGATAAGCTCTTCTGCTCTAAAGGGCCCCCACCCCAGGCATTCATACCGAGCTGGAGCCTGTAAGAGGCACCAGGGCTTTGCAGCTCAGTCTCTGCCAAGGCACAGCTGCTGCTTTGGACGCGGCATCTCTGCGGTGCCCCTCCGGGCTGGCACTGGGACAGCCGAGAGAAGCCGGTCACACTTATGCCAGCTTTCATCATCCAGCAACTGTTCCCAGCCAACCCCGGGAGCCTCCCTCTTGCCCTGCGGCGGATTCCTCTGTTGGCTCTCCAGGATGACATTCAGTTCTCTGGAAGGACCCTATTTATAGACTTGCCCAGGGAGGGACCTTCTCTGGGCCAACTGAGCCCCCCCCCCACCGCTCCCCCAAGCGATGGCCGTGTGTTTACTGTGAAGTGAACCCTTAACCCTGCAGTGTCCTCCCTTGGCCACATCTTCTGATGCGCCCACAGAATCCGCCTTCCTTTCTGATCCGATTCTTCCTTCCCTGGAAGGGATCCTGGGCCTTCCTTCCTCCCAGGCCCACCTATGCTCCCCATCTCAGGGCCAACTCCGGTACAAGGGTCAAAGGTCACAAAGAGAGGGTTACTCTTCCCCTCACGGGCCAATTAGCCCCACCCAGGGGAAAAAGAAAAGCCAAGATCTGTCCTGGGGTATCATCCTTGGGTGTCCCAGACTTTTGGGAGGGCCGAAAAGGGGAAATGGGGAGATGCTGTTTATAGGGGAAAGGACGTGTGTGTGTGTGTGTGTGTGTGTGTGAAAAAGTCAAGATGAACCCCCTTGTTAGGAGCCCTGTCCCCCTTTTTACAGGTGATGGGATGCAGGAATCAACACAGTCCCAGTCAACCTCTGGACTTTTGTGACCACCACCCCTTCCCCCAGAATACACACTGGCCATCAATGGGCCTCCAGGTATTATACTGATCCTTATTTCTGAACAGAGGTTTAGACTTGTATCACACCCCAGAGCTAAAACTTAATTGGGGGAAATATAATTTGCACATGGGAAAATAGGACACTTAAAACTAGTGTGGGATGTGACTGTGCCAATTAATTTTGATGACCCACCCTAATTTAACTGTCCTCTTTTCCTAGGTGCAAATTTCTGCAAAGCGTGCAGAAGTGCCAATTTTAGGGAGCAACATCTGGCCACACCATGGCAAAAAAGCTCAGGGTTCATTTCATTTCCCCGCTACAAAGGTTATCGCACGTACCTTTGCAAACGAAACACTTAATATGAAAATACTTCTTCTGCACTCTTAGCACTTCTCCTTTGCACGGACTCCCACAGTTGTGGCAAAGGATGGCGGCTCCTGAGGGTGTCTCCAAATGGCTGTGCACAGCCTGTCGCTGGGAAGCTGTCGGAAAGGGAAACAGCCTTTATCAAAGGGTTGAAGAGAAGGAGGCTCCCATCCCTGCTCTCGCCCTTCTGCAGAAATGACCCAACTCTGCTCGCGTTAGAACAGGGGTCTCCAACCTGTGGACTTCAACTCCCAGAATTCCCCAGCCAGCAAGAACCAACAAGGGGAGGAGAATAATTGTTTCTGCTTGAAAATAGGGCAAAAAAAGATAGAATTTAGGAAGTATAGACCACTCACTGACCACATCTGGGAGACTCCTCAAGTAAAATCATAAAAAGATCCATGAAAACAATGGAGAGAGACTGTTTCTGAAATTCTGAGATGGGGTTGAGGGGACTTTGCATAAAGAAAGTACTGTGACTTTCTTTAACTCAATAATATTAAACAGAGAATTTATTTTTTCATGTCCCTGTAATCCCTTTTTATTGGGGTGGGGTCAGGGCAACTGAATGGAGCTGAACGTTTACTGGCCGGATGCCCTCCCTGACGCCTACGTGTAGTTCGCAACAGGTATTTCTTCTTTGTGCCCTGATAGACAAACACCTGTTGCTGCCTAGGATTGAACTCTCAATCACCCGAGTGGGAGGGGAGCGTCTTCCCCTCTAGGCTGTCACTACTATCAGATAATTACCTTAATGGAATTAAGATCAATGATAGTTTTCATTTCCTACATAGGGTGTGTAAAGTAAGGAATTTTATATGGAATAAGAAAAGTGCAAAAACCAACATTACTGAAGTGACTAGGAAAGAATTCCAGCGGTGGCTACATATCAAACCCAATTTAATAAAATCCAGATTCAAGCTTTGTGCACCTTTCTCATCTACTCTTGTGTTACGATGGGCCAGAAATCCCTCTCTTTTGCGGAAGAGGGACAGGGTCTACTGGTCCCCTATTTTTATGACGGTTCAGGTTTCAGGTTCTTTGCTTGTGAACTTGCTCACACACCCGGTAAGTTGCCTTCCTATCCAAGCCGGATCCTTAAGGGCAGCCCGGCTGATGCTTGAGCTGTGTCTCTCCTACCCATCCAGGCCTTAAGCGGATTGCTGCACTCCTTGGCTGCAAATGTTGTGGATTTAGACCCAGCAGGAGCCCGGAGAGAGGATGTTCTCCTGGGCTAAAATAATGCTGGTAATTATGCAGCAGAAAGTCACCTTAAAAGAGAATAAAAATGCTCAAAAATAGTTATCTTGGAGACTTAGCCTGCATTTCACTGAATCCTAGCAGATGTTCCTTATACACTGTATTTGAGGAAAAGTTCCATTCATTAAGAAACATCTAGACTAGGAAAATTTCACTTCTAACTGGGCTACTAGAGGAAGGGAGGCAAGCCGGGGAGAGGGGACCATGCAGGAGACAGATAAATGGAAGCGCCCTGGCCTTGGCCCTTACACAAACGGGAGTCCTTCAGATACGTAACAATAGACCAGCTGAAAGGCAAGACACATGGATGGATGGAGGCAGGTGTTTCCCTTGATTTATCTCCCAGCAGTGAACTTAGTGACCGAAGTGGAGGAGGGGAGGCCATTCTCCTCCCCCTACCCCCCCCCACACGTGTTCTCGTCCTCTTGACCATCATTTTCTCTCAAGGCCCCTGGAGCTGATCTCGGGGTCAGAGCATTGGCCGCCAACTGCTTTTGGGAGCCAGTCCTGCAAGCCGACGCGTCTTGCTTTTGTAAATGCAGAACTGGGGCTGCTTGGCGCCAGTGAGCTCCTCTCTTCACAGTCATTAATTCATCCTTTCTGTGAGAACTGAATACCACCTTTGTCTCTCCTAAAATTACTACAGGCTTGAGTTCAGTCACTGCAAAGATGGTAGCCAAAAATCAGGAAGAGGCTGGCAGCCCCTTTTCCAACTTTTATTAAACTTTCTGGCTGGCCTTGTGGTGATTTGTAAATCCCTCTGGCTTCCCAACCGGCCAGACAAAACTTATTCAGCCTTGGTTTCCTGCTGATTGCTGCACTGATGTCCACTTGTAGAGTATCCTCAGCTCAGTCCGAGTCCAGGTGGCCGGATGGTTCAGGTAGCTGCCGGCTGGCAGATTCAACTTTAACTCAACTCATCCTCCAGGAGTTAAGCCCCCTGCCCAGCCTCTTGGCTGCAGTCCAATCTTTGTTGGGCTGGCACTTGTTTTTCTCATTCGGTTCTCCCGGTTGTGACCATCTCTGGTCTAGCCTGTGGTGACACCTACCTCCAGGAGCTCCCCAACCCTGGTTCTCTCTTTCCTGTTCCCAGCTTCACTGTTCAACTTTGGAAATTTGGCCTCCACAAGGATGGGGACTGGATGAGCCACCAGGCACACTAACCTGTTTCAATTGAGGAGGCAACGTCTTTCTTCATCTCTTTCAGTCTCCAAAATCCCAAAAAGCTTTTTACCTGGATTTCTTTGTTCAGAAGCTCTCCAATCTCTTTGCTCTTTTGGTCCTCCTCACTATAAGGATAGCATATCAGTAAGTGCTCAGCTTCAAGCCCCAAGTGGGTTGGGTGAAGGGACCTACCTCCTTGCTAGGTGGGTGACTGTGGATTTTCTTAGCGGCTTTTAATTTTTTCATATGAATCTGCTTTTATTTGTATAATAAAATAATTGGTCTCCTGCCCAGAGTTACCATTAAGATGAGCAGCTAAAACGAATGGATTAATTTGGTCACCACAATCTTAAAAAAGATGTGGGGACTCTAGAAAGAGTGCAGAGAAGAGCAACAAAGATGATTAGGGGACTGGAGGCTGAAACATACAAAGAACAGTTGCAGGAATTGGGGATGTCTGGTTTAGTGAAAAGAAGGACAGGGGTGACACGAGAGCAGTCTTCCAATATCTCAGGGGTTGCCCCAAAGAAGAAGGGGTCAACCTATTCTCCAAAGCATCTGAACCTAATCAAGGAGAGAAGCAGCCTAGAACTAAGGAGGAATTTCCTGACAGTTAGAACAATTATTCAATGGAATGACCTGCCTCCAGAAGTTGTGGGTGCTTAAGAAGTTCTTAAGAAGAGACTGGACAACTATTTGTCTGAAATGCTATAGGGTTTCCTGCCTGATCAGGGGTTGGACTAGAAGACCTCCAAGGTCCCTTCCAACTCTTTATTCTGTTAAATAAATGAATGAATCAATAAAACAAACCACGCCAATATCTCCCTCTAATTCTTCCAAGGTCTTTGCGTCCAGATCTTCAACTTCCATGCCTCTGGCTGCCACTGGCATTTCCACAACAGCAGCACGGATGGTTTCATCAGAGTCCCTGCCATTTCTATCCATCGGCCAGTTCTCTGGCCTCCTAACGTTGGACATCTGCCCAGTGTCTCCTCTGGAAGACCCGCCTTTGCCTTTCTTGTGTCAGGGAGGTCCTCAAGTTGCCCAGCTCTCGTCTTTGGTTGCTTCTTTTGAGTATTTCCCCATCTCCCTGGATCTTAAATCCATTAACCTGACTGGTGTTGGGTGTGTGTGTGTGAGGGTGGGGGGAGGCGTGTGTTAGGTTTCTGCAATTGTCTGCACTGTAAAACTGATCTGGAACAAGCAGCAGGGAACTGCAGAGGGAGTAATGCCTGCCGGGATGAGATCCTGAGGCTTTACTCTCTGCTGGTTTTTTCATCCTTTGCTGGGGGCCCGGGGGCTCCTGTGCGCCAGTTGCAGATCCAACACGGTCCCTTCTCCCATGAGAGAAACACGAGAAGGAGAAGCTCCCTTAAACCGAGGCACCTTGCAGTAGGTCAAGCGGAACATGCGAAGACGCTTCCTCTGGTGGCCAAGGATGGTCCAAGGTTCCTAGGAGCCAGGATCTCCAGCGCTCTTCTCCTGTCCGGAGAGACCTGCTCTGGTCCATGCAAGAGTCCGGGCGGCTGTGCACATCCAATAAATCAACACGCTTGGCTGAAGATGCCCCCAACTGACCTGCTTCAGAGGACCAGTGGCTTCTTTGTCGAACCTATGGCTCAAATGCATTATGAGCTCACACTAAAAGATTTCGACCCATTTCCCCCCCTTAATTTTCTCTTGCCCAATGCCTCTTCCGGTGACTGGAGGGGGCTGTCCTCCCCCCCCCCCGCCCCATCTTCTCAAGGCTAAAGAAGACTCTCCCTTCAGGGATTCCCTGAATTCCAGGCCTCCGGTCAGCTCCGATGTTCTCCTCCAGAAGTGTTCCTGCTTCTCTTCTCCGAATCCTTTTGAGATTCCGGTCCTCAGGACAGATTGGACCCAACCCAATCCAAACAGAGTGGACCCCTTCTCATTTGGAAACAATCCCTAGGCATCCTGAATCCGCAGCCATTTTTCACAGCCCTGTCAGACTAATGAATCTTATTCACCTTTCTGTCAACTATCATTCAGATATCTCTCTGCTGACCCCCAGGTCTCCCCTTCTGCCCCTGGGCTGCCCTCTCAGCTGCAGCCGGGCCCAAGAGGGGTGTCGCACGGGGGAGGGAGGGAGGGCCGGTCTTCCGCTCGCTCTGCTCCCAAACCTGAGGGGGGGGGGCGGAAGGAGGCCTTCCTTTTCCATTCTCCCAGCTCCCTCCGAGTTGTGGTCGGTCATTCCCGGCCAGGGAGAGCTCCGGCCCCGCCTGCCCTTGGGCTGCTATGAGCAGATCCCGGCCCTGCCTTTGCTGCAGCCGAGCCACCCGGAGAGGCATCTGGGCGCCAGGTGAGGCTCCGCAGCCCTCCGCTCTCCCAGGCCGAGGACCGCTCCCTCCTGAGGGATGCCGGGAGTTGTAGTCCGGAGCCGCTCGAGGGCCACAGCCTCCTGGCGCCCGCAGACGGGCCCCCTGTGGCCGGCGCCCCTGACTCCCGCGCTCGCCTCCCGGCCGGAGATGAGCGCCGCGCCGCTGCCCCAAAGGGAAAAGCAAAGGAGCCGCCGGGAATTGTGGCCGGGAAAGGGCTGGGTGGGCGCCGGGCTTCCCATCGCTGCGGCACCTGCTCCCCGCAACGCCCCGCCGAGCCTCCCGAGCCCAGCCTGGTCCGCGGCGGCCGGAGAGCGAGAGCGGGCCGCACCTGGGGCTGGGCAGCGCAGCGGCACCCGGGGCAGGGGGAGACCCCCCTCCGCCGCCTCCCCTCCGGCCGCCGCCCCGCTGCGCGACAGCCGCCTGCCCTGCCGGAGGGGCCGCGGACTCGGCCTGCCCTCCCCCGGGGCCAGGAGGGGCGGCGCAGGAGCCGCAGTCGGACGTGGCCGCCCGGCAGACCCGCGCCTACCTGCCGTGGCCGAGCTCATCCTGGCCGGCTCGGGCCGCGCCGGGGCTGCCCCTTGCGCCGGCCGGCGGGGCGCGCATCCCCCGGCACCTGTTGCGCGGCGGCGGCGGCGGCGGCTCCTCTGCGGAGCTCCTGCGGGCTCCCGCCTCCTCCCTGCGGCTGGCCAGCCGGGCGCGCCGCGGCGCTTGTGCGCGGCTGCGGCTGCCGCTCCTCCGCGCTGTCGATCTCCGGCGCAGAAGGTGGGGCGAGCGAGCGAGCGAGCGGGCGGCGGGCAGGGGAGTCCGCGTCAGCAGCCAGTCGCGGTCGCGCTCCGCCGGGAACCGGCGCCTCTGCGGAGCCCCTGGGCTGGGCGCCAGCTGGAGCCGCTGCACACGGCAGACGCGGCGGAGGGACCCGGTCGCCCCCCTCCCCCCCGCAGACCCAGGCGGGGAAGGTGCGGGGTGCTGCCTGCGGCCAGGGGCTTCCCAACCTGGGTTTGGGGACACACACATTGCGATGCCCCCCCCGCCCTCGCCCCGGGAGAAAAAGGTGCAGCTGGATGTGGCGGGGGGGGGGGGCTCTGCAGGGCGGCGGCGGGGAGTTCATTGCGCGGATTTGGACGAGTTGCTGCGCGTCTCTTGAGGGGCGGCCAGGCGGGCTCTGGGGCGGCCGGAGGCACCAGATCAGGGCTGGGAGTGGAGGCGGCTCCTGGAAGGCTCTACTCGGGCTCAGCTAAAGATCGCGGACAGGAAAGAACCGTCCCGCCCGCAGCCGGCCAGGGTCTCCAGGCTGCTCCGGCCCTCGGGGGAGACCCACTCCCGCGGAAACGGCCGTGTCTCCCCATTCATAAAACGCGGATGGAAGGAGGCCCGGATCTCTCCGTGGAGGAGCAAAGACCCCCGGCGCCTCCGAAGAGGGGCTCTCCCTCCATCTCAGCTTTATCGCCTTTTCAGGGGCTGTCCCGAAGATGGGGGGCTGGCTTAGGATTCCCCCCTCCGGGCACCTGTGGGGGTGGGGGTGGCTCAGCCGTCTGGGCCTTTTTTATGGCTCTTTTTCGTGGTTAGTATTTTTTTTTTAATGCAAATAATACAGAAACTAATCATAGTGAACAAAACTGCAGGTTTTAATAACAATGATTATTATCACAACAATAAAGCTGTTTTTATTATTTTTTCCATAATTTATATAATAAAATAGTCCTTGACTTACAGCTGTTCACTTAGCGACCATTTGAAGCAGAGACGTTATGTTACGTCCCCCAGTTATGTTACACATTTTGAGAGTGGCAACCAGGCTGCGTGTATGGCCATCATGTGGTCCTGTAACACCATTTCACACCAAGAAACAGGATTTTTTCAGCAAAACCGGCCTATGACGAACCCTTGATTCGCTTAATGACTGTGGCATTTTGCTTAACAACCGCCGCAAAAAAGGTTGTAAAATTGGTGGCTGATTCGATTTATGACCGTCACGAGTTATGACCGATATGCATACTCCATTACGTTCACAATCCGAGGACTCCTCCAAGTTACAGAATGGAATTCTATGCATTCCTGCTGTGTTTCTCCACCCAGACAGAGGATTTCAACTTCCCAAATTCTAGGAACTGAAGTCCAGAGTCTGAAAGTCACCGAGGTTGAGAAACTTTCCTATATAAATGCAAAAAGAATAATAAACAGTCCAGTGAAAGTGGAATTCATCCCAATTCAAAGGCCAGGTAAAAATCAAATCGAAACATATCCAGCCCTTTCAGCAGTCCAGATAGATTCCTTGGAAGCAGGACTCTCCTTATTGCAGGGGGTGGGGGTGGGGGTGGGGGTGGGGGTGGGGGGGTAAATAATGGTTTCCCATTTGCTGCTCTTCTCTTGACTCTTCTTCATGTAGCACTCGAGGGTCTAAAGGGCAGCAAGTCCCTCCTTGAGGAATGATTAATGGGCTTCATTTTTTGGCCTGAGGAGTCCAGAGTCACAAGGGTGCCCTCAAAGCATCCCCCCCCCATTTTTATAGGCACCATAAAAATTTCAGTCTTGTGGGATTCATCGGGACCCCTGTGTCCCCTCACCCACCCTGACAGGTTCCTGTAGTAGACAATGTCATTATGTTCTTTAAATGAACTTGTTCACCTAATTAAACAAGAAAGGACAAAAGAAGGTAGAAATGGAATATTTAAAATTAACAAGCAGCTGGATTCTTGCTGAAAAAAAGCCCCAAATCCATATTTTGGCTTTGTTGTCAGGTGGATTTTCTTACTCAGTTCCTGGGGCTTTCCTTCGAGTTCCAGACGGAGGTCAAAAAAGTCAGAATGGCAGCCAGAACCACAGGACTGAAACCTGGTCTCTTTTGGGGGGGGGGTATAATTTTATTAAACACTTTATTAAAGAAACCAATTCCAATTAATACAAAGTGAGAAAAAAGGCAGAAGAAATCAAAGAGAAAGCTAAAAAGGCAAAAAAAGGGAATAAGAAAAAAATATTTGTTTTCTCACCTCACCTTACAAATACCCTTCGCGCTAATCGAGCTGGACTTTCATCTGCTTCCCTTAAGGACTCTTTGGTGGTTTCCCATCTTGGATGGGGGCCAGAAGCATAAAGTGAAGCCACAATTAAACTGCAAAATTTGCACCGTCCTCACGGCTGGAAGAGAGGAGCGGATGGAACATGGACCCATCTTACGTCCTCCCGATGTAAGGAGAATGCACACGTACCTCCAATCCCAATGGCTGGTCTCAGAAATTAGTTGTTTTAAGCAAATTACCTGACTTCCTTCAGGGACCTCGCACCTGAAACTCAGGGAAGGGTTCCCTTGTTGAGGTGACCCCAGAAGCCCTGAAAGAGCCAAGGGCCTGATTAGCCAGTGGGATTCCTTGGAGAGTGGAGGTACGGCCAGCTTCCTTAGCCATTTCTGCTAAAATAGTAGCAGTCAGAATGGTGGACAAGAAGGCAATCGCCATGGCCTGAAAAACAGCTGTTGGAAGCTATACAAGGGGTGAACTCAGATAAATGGTGATAAGTCCAGGAAGAAGATACACATGATGTCAGGACTGGCCTTTTGGAGGTCCCCACCTGGCCCTTTAAATTGAGACTTCCTGCCCTCTTTATTGGCTGAAACCACCCATAACTCTATTTCTGCTGTTAAATTGCTTTGCTTCCCCTCCCCCACAGCTTTGTATCTCATTATCCCTCCTTCTCGAAGGTTTCTGGTTTGTTCTGGGGGTCTAGTGGTAGAACTACAAATCGCCCCCAAAAGACCCCAGAAAGAGGCATTAACTCTTTCAAGGTAAGAGGCTCTGGCATATTCCAGTGACTGTCTCTGAGATGTGCTTGAGTTAAACCTTTTCCTGACTGCAAACTTGTTTTTCAAACTGTAGCTATTACAACCTAGAAGTTGAGGGGGTTTTCCCTCATTTTGAATTTTTTTTTTTTTACTTTGCAGCATCTTTCTACTAGAAAAAAGAATACAGAGGAATTAAAACAAGCTAACATTGACTGACAGTAGGGAATTGAAGAAATATTTCAGTTACACTTTTTATCATTTTGGAGACAAAAGCCTTAAACTTGATTATCTGCTTTTCTAATTCAAATAATTGTATAGTGGTGAAGAACAGGGACAAAGATGCAGCCATCCAACCAGTAAGCCATCATAGTTCTGTGTGGACCTGCATTCTAATCCCGGGTTAATTGTGGCAATGCCAGTAGAGCCAGGCACCTGCTTCCCTTTCGGGTGTTGCGGTTGTGAGTTTCTGATCTTTGGGTGTTGTTCATTTGTTTGTGGATGGCAGAGATTCCCCAAACTTTTACTAGGCAAAAAAAGTACATTTTGCTTGCTATCTTCTGTTAGGCTGGGAAGATTTGTGAACTGTCAGAAAGACAGTTTATAAAATTACACAGGGAGCTTCTTGCTACCGAATGAGAGAGATTAAAAATACTGCTTTGAATGCCTATATAAGGCTATACAGTGAAATGTAAGCTAATACCGATGGCTACTTACACTCGTAGCCTTGTACCAGAGGCAAAACTGGATCTGCCTGGACTCATAACCCCGATTGGCCATGTTGATTTGGCTATATACTGTCCCACTGACATTGGCCCTTAGCCTCCACGTAGATAGGTTTCTCTAAGACGGTCAGGCCTCAGTCAGGCCCCTCAGGCCTCCCCACGGTGCAAGGCGGCCATGGCTGCTATGATCCATGGATTGCAAATCTGCCTCCCAAGTAAAGGACTTTGCATTCGTCTCCGGTAAATTTTGATCTGTTGTTCTCTAACCCACTCAAAACCATGCTAACTTTTGCCTCTGTCCCCTGGAGGATGAGCTGAGCCCCACGACCGAGGGTTGTCCTTCCCACCTATTTCCCCATCCCCCCCATTTCCATTCTCTGGGCCATTAACAGAGCAGTGGCCTTGTGGCACAACTGGCTCTCCCCTCCCTCCCTTTGGTGAGGGTCACTGAGGAGACTTTTGGAGCAGCCGGAGTCCACCTCACAGACCTGCTTTCTGGCCCAGATCTCGCTGGCTTGCTAGTGAAAGTCTAGGGGCTCCTCCTTTTCAGCAAAGTAATTTACAATCTCCACGTCTGAATGGGAATTCGGAGCCGTGGTGGACTCTGTTCCCAACCACTCCACCGCCAGAGTTTGTGCAGAGGCACGACTTAAGTGCTCTTCAAGGGCTGCCCTTCTTAAATATAGATAGAGCAAGGCGCTGCATTTGAAGAGGAGGAGAGCCACAATCCCTTTGGCTGGACATGTCCCGCTCTCTGCTCCACCCCCGGCCACCCCCTGGGCCCTTCGGATGTGCTTGGCAGCGTAATAAAGCAGGAAACGGGCCGGTCCTAAAGGAAACAATGAAGGGAAGCGCTGTAGTCCCCCATCCCACCAGTCCTGTATCCACAGCTTCCTTTCAGAGAAATTCAAAACACTGGATCCACCAAAAAGGAATTTGGAAAGGGAGGGATCGTGTTTTCGTGTGCAGCGAAACCAAATCTGGGCATCTGGAAAGAGAACATGGTGCACCATCAAATGGTCTGACAAAAAAGTCTATTTAAAATGCTGCTATGGTGCTTTTCTGTTCCAGAAGAGCTGAAGGCTGCTTTTCAAATTAAAATGGATTTAGTTACTGTTTATAAAACAAACAGTAGACATTACAGTAGGAGAACATGTTGGAAAAGCCCTTAAGAAGATGAGACAACCAGGGGTGGGAGACTCTGAAGAGACGTGGGGGTCGATGAGCCTGAGGCAGTGAAGAATCCCCCCAAATAGGAGAAGCCTTTGAAAAATTCTGCTTCTACATGGCTGGTATTGATCTCTTGGGGTTGATGTCCACCTCATGGTGGACTGGTCACTCTCGGTGGGCGGAAGCATTGCAAGGGCTGTCCTCAAACGCTTAGGGCTTAATTTGCAGCCGGCTCAGAAGTTGCATCTCCACGCGCTGGTGGGGACCCTGAAGGCCTCTTGGTCCTGGCCTTCTGTCCAAGAGTGACCGCCTGCCTGGTCTCGGAAGGGCTACCTGGCCGGCAGCAGTATCCAGGAGGGCCGGGCTGAGATGGGGGGCTAGGAAGAAGGGAGGATTATTCCAGGTATTGGGATTCTAGGGGGAAAAGAGATTCTGAATTCACACGGACCCCGGGGTTTGGATGGGCGAGAGCAGTGGTGGGATTCAGCTGGTTCGCACCACTTCGGGAGAACCGGTTGTTAACTTTCTGAGCAGTTTGGCGAACTGGTTGTTGGAAGAAATCATTAGGGCAGAGAACCGGTGGTTAAATTAGTTGAATCCCACCACTGGGCGAGACCTACCTTTGGGCAAGGCCTACCTTAGGGAAGAGGCTGTGAAGATTAACAGAGCCTGTTAAAGGTCAACATGCTGTGTTTGCAAAAAGGGCCGATTAGCCCACAGCCAACAGGAAAAGAAAGTGTGTGTGTGTGTGTGTGAGAATCCGGCGGGGGACAGGAAGGGAAAGATCAGCACTTTTGGAGTGGCAGAGTGAAAATTGGAGAGAGGAAGACAAGAGGGAGGTAGGTGCCTGCTAAGTTGGCTCTTTGGGTGTTTCTGGTTTTATTTCACGCCTTGCACTATGAGGAAGACTTTAGGGGCGATCCTGAGCAAGGAGGGAGGAACAGCCCTTCGCAGAAAGGCAGTAGGCGCAGCTGCCCCCCCCGCTCTTGGACCCCAGGGGCCGCCCAGGGCCATTGGGGGAGAGGGGCACTGCAGCGGCACCTGCCCTTCCCCAAAGGCATCATCCGAGTTTGAGTGGCTGAGAAAAGGTGGGTGGGGCCTTTTTGTAAGGAGGGGAGGGGCCTTGTGCTCTGCAACCTTCCCTGCCCTTTTCTCCCAGCTGGCCCTTGAGATGTCCTTTGCAAGGCCCAGAAGGAAGAGGGCTGAGGGGCAGCAGCTGGGTTAGGCGCAGGGAAGCACAGAACTGCCCGTCTCTGTCCGGCAACCACGCCAAGCAAGCATTCCTCCCATGGCAACCAACGGGCAGGCAGGAACCTTGGTCCATGCTGGTCCTTTTCTTTCCAACTTCATCCTCGTAGCTGCAGAGGTTCTGCTGCTCTGGGAAAGTCTTCTGATCCCAGGCAGGTCTCCCATCTTCTTAGAAAAGAAATCAAGAGGCAGCCTCGGCAGACACATTCCTCAGGATCCAGGGTCTCTCTTTCGGTAGAGCTGGTGTCCAGGTTTGCTCCTTCATCAGATCCATCAGAAACGGAGATCTGGCCATGGGGGTTGTGCAGAACTGCTAAACGGGAATGAAGAAGGGGAACTCCCTTTCCTATTCAATGGATGAATTCCAGGTGCTCCACAAACATCCCATCCCCCGCGAACTCCTTGTAATCCTGTAGCCTGACAGTCTTGTTAGGCAGCTGGGGGCGAAATGGGGCTGAGAAGAAATGCCAAAGTCCACCCAGTGTGGGGCTCCTAGCAAAGGGGACCTTTTAACCAAAGACGGTTTGTTGCCATGTAGGCCTTGTGCGACCGGATGTTTCTGCTGCCCGTCTAGAAAACATGGAGCCCTCGAGGGAAGCAGCAGCAGAAGCCGACAGGAGCCCAGAAGCCACCGCGTCTGACGTTGCCCCCCAGGAAAAGCCTCCCCTCAGCTCTCCCCTTGACCCTGGAGCAGGGCAGACCCCAAGCTGGGCAGAAGAAGAACCTCCTGAGCTCCTGGGACAGTGGGACCCCAGCCAGATGTGTCCACCAGCCCACTCAAATGTCCTGCCAACTCCTGCAGGGAAGGAGGGGGCTACACTACAGCAGCCGCAAAAAGGTAACACACACACACACACACACACACACACACACACACACACACACGGCATCTTTCCAGCTTTCCTTTGACTTTTGAATGGGTTTCTTCCAGGAATGAAATTCAAAATTTTTCCCTATTGGTTCTGTGGGCGTGGCTTGGTGGGCGTGGCAGGGGAAGGCTATTGCAAAATCTCCATTCCCACCCCACTCTGGGGCCAGCCAGAGGTGGTATTTGCTGGTTCTCCAAACTACTCAAAATTTCCACTACCGGTTCTCCAGAACCTGTCAGAACCTGCTGGATTTCACCCCTGGTTTCATCTCTGGACTGCGGAGATCGTGCTAAACTTTGGGGTTGCTCCCTCCACCCCCCTCCTCCCCAACATAATCTCTGGGTGGCCAGAGTGAAAGCTTGTGATCCCATTTTCTGACACTGAGTAACCGTTTACTAGTTTGAGATGCCAATGCTTTTGTGATTCAGCCACTCACAATCTCACAACCCTATGTAACGGGAATGGTATTTAAATGTTTACTAAGCTTTGTCTTTTATTTTTGGGCTGATTCCTTGTCTTTCTACCCTGGAAGCACTCAAAGCTACAAATACAATTTATGACAAAAGGAGAATATTTAATTAAATATTCAGAAAGGAATAAGCGGAGATTAAGTTCCTCCAAGGATGGAAAAGTGAAGCTCTAACCTGCAGTTTTGGTGCTGGGAGAAGGGGGTCAAGCAGCCCTCTGGAGTGGGGGGGAGGGGGGTATTCAGAGCTTGCGGGAAGGTCTTTATTCCTCTTGCTGGCAACCTGGGGCTCTGCTGGGCAGCACGGACCAAGCCTCCGCCATGCAAGGACCATCAGATGAGGGAAGCAGTGCCATGGATGGAGGTTGATTGGAACAGCTCCAGAGGCAGAGGGAATCAGGTCTGAAAGAGCTTCGCCTCCCTCCCTTTCTCCTCTTGGGAACTGGGGAGGGGCTTGTCCGAGATGGGGCTTTCTTGGCTGGGGCTCAGGGCCCGCTTGTCTGGCCATTGCCCTGCTGGTGGCCCTCTACACCAAGGGACCCTCCTCCTGCTCTCCTTCGCTGGACAGGTTTGCAGGGGAGATTTCACTGCATTACTCCTTTTGGGAAAAGAAGAGGTTATTTCATTTGCCTGTTTTCTGACTTTTTGCAACACAAAGTGAAATTTCCTTGCTCACACCTGAGCCCCACAGCTGCCCCAGAGAAGAGAAGTGGAGATGGAGTTTTGGCCCCAATAGACCAGAAAGCATCTCCGCCCTCAACAGGGAGAAGGTAAAAGGAAAACCGAACGGCTGTTCCTGGGGACGTTTCCATTAACCATAAACCTGGCATTTTCAGCTCTCTTCCTGAAGATAACCCTGATCAGACGAAGGACGGGCCTTCCCGATTCTCAGCTGCAGGAGCATCTGCAGGGAAGACTCCGTCTCCTGGAGAATGACAGCCAGCGGGCCGTGGCGGTTTTTAGTGTAAGCTTGTAAAGGTGGGGTGAAAGTCGGCCTTTGTCTTATGGACTCCATCCAATTCCCAGGGTGGGGTGGAGAGGAGAAGGGACGTCTCTGCCACGGCTTCCCTCCTTGTGATAGGCGGTGCCTCTGTGGCCCTAATGTGTGGCAGCTGCAGGCAGGGAGGCGGTGGGGGTCCCCTCTGGTTCCCCTTCGTGTGCTTGGAAACAGTCACATCATGGGAAGGAGTTGGGGGAACCCCCTGGAGCCAAAGGCTCTTCCCAAATTTGGGATCCTAGAACTTTTGGCTGTGAGATCAGTGGCTGTGGACCTCCTGAACTGTGGAAACTGCCCCCCCTTCCTTCTTGATCCCCCGATCCCCTCTTCTCTCCTAAAGAGATTCAGAGGCGGTTTTTGTCTCATAAGATTCTGTAGAGCGCTTTATATGGAGATCAGTCTCCGTTTCTACATATGCGTCTTACCCCATTCAGAATATAAGTATAATATTTTTAACATGTAACATAATGGAATAAAGATTACCAAACTTAAATATTTTGAAGAGCAGATGTAACCGGGCCAAGGAAAGGCAGAAACTAGCTGCAAAAATCTTTTTCCATTTTTAGTCAGTCATATTTGTGCCATTTTTCAAGAGGGAACAAAGGTGTAGTGCAGAATCAGGCTGCCACTATGATTTTCTTGTATTTAAACTCAAAGGTTTACTAGTTCTGTTCCCAGAAGAAATGCCCTGTTCCTCTTTGTCTTCCTCAGGAGTTGTCGGCCAGATTGCTGTCCATCCACAGTGAAGGCCATCTCATCGCCATCACATTTTGGACCTTGGAGGAAATCTGGAAGTTTATAACTTACTATTCTCTTGGTAAAGCAACACATCAGAAGATTTGGTATTTTGGTGGCTGCTGGTGCTCTGAAAATTAAGACATTGTTTAAGAGATACAAATTTAAAGATCCCGTTTTAAACGTTGTGTACAATAGTGCTTCAGTTAATTTCACACTAAGGGTTTTTGTGAGAAGAGTTTTGGAATCCAGAACTATTCAGACTGGATCCACCTCCCTGAGTCCAAGATCTAACTGTGGTTTAAGATAGGTCTGTTTGGCTCTACTGCCCTGGTTGCTGCTCTTCTTCCTTTCTAGTGGCTCAACTTCTGAGCCAAGAAAAAATGATGGATAGAATTCCTAGGGTTATGAAAGTCATCTTCCCCGCTTTTTCCTTCCCCACCCAAGGACAGCTTCAGGAATATAATATCTGTTTTGTTCCACTACAAGGCAAATAACCGGGTGGGGTGGAATGCAACACGGCCGTAGCCACAATCTGCCAGTTCCATCCTTGGGAGTTTTTGCTGCTTGAAGGACCAGAAAAGGGAGTTTCTGTTCAGAGGTGGGGAAGGGCCTCATTTTAGGGACTGAGACCCTCAGGAACTCACTGAAGTTTTACTGTATTCAGGTTGAAATGGTCAAAATCAGAAATTGCAACAATTGTCAAAACAAGGAAGTTTCTCTCTCCAATCTGCATTGGAGATCGAAGGATCCTTTTTGCACCAGAAGCCAGTACTGCCCCACTGCGCTGCCTCTCCTTTTCTTCTTGAACCTGGGATGGATTATGGGTAGAAATACTCTGGAGGTCAGAGAGTTTTGGGTTCCTGGTCAAAAGCTGTGGTACTTCTAGGAAAGATATGCTTCCAATTAACGCTACTGATTTTTAAAGAATAGACCGTGTTGGATAATATGAAAAATGCTTTTGACAGGTTTTTTAAATCCCTGCCTGGAGACTCTGTTGCTGGATGACTCTTTGTGGCTCTCTTCACCAGAAGAAGCTGCTGGAATTGAGGTCCTCTTAGATGAAAATTGTCTCCATCGGATCTACAGAGGACTCTTAATTCAAGAAGGTACCTGGGGTTTTACCTGCACTTGCAAAACAGTATTTAGCATCTGCTGAACTGAATGAGATACGAGCAGAAGCTTTGGGCTCTGCTTCAGTTCATTCATGTTCTGAGGAAAATGTCAAATAAAGACAAACAAATTCATGTTCTGAGGATGACGTCAAATAAAGACAAAATAAGAGGTTCTGTTGGTCGGAAGGGAAATGGATTTGGAGATAGAGATGCCTCAGCTCTGGCTGGGATCACACTTCTGCCTGCCTCTCTCTCTCTCTCTCCATCTGTCTGTCTGCCTGCCTGCCTGTCTCCTCCTTTGTGCCAAGACTCGGAACTGGTGTTTGCGTGAAGAGGCATATTTGAGGAATTGCATTCACACGTCATTAGATTTGGCAACAATTACCTGCAGCTTAGTTACACCCTGTCTTAACTATGAGAGCATGCTCTCTGTGATACTAACTTGGAGACTCAAAAAATGTCTTCAGAAATTGTAATTAGCACAAAATATAGAAGGACTGCTAATCAGTGAAAAGTACAGGGAATCCACTGGATGGGGGGGGGGCTGTTGATCTGCCTTTCACCCCTCCACCCCCCCCCATCCATATATTCCACTGCAAAGAATAAGGATTTAGTTGTACAAGATTCTCTCCAGTTTTCTTTGACTTCCATCTTGCAACTGAGGCCAGTCTTTCTGGCTAAAAAAAAAAACTGACAAAAAATCCTGCCTGAGTATTCAAAATCTTTCCCCATGAAAAGTTTAATGGGGAGCTGTTTTTTCCCCTTCTGGCACTTTCCTTCTCCATCACCAGAGTGAAGCTGCAAACAGGAAAAGGAAAAAGCTTTCATTCCTGCCACTAAAAATGCTGCTGGCTGTTGGGCTCCCACAGAAACAAGGAGCGACAGGGAGTCAGTGAACGATGTCCTTGCGGTAGTCCAAGACACGGTAGCCCTCCAAGGCGGCTGAGTAAGCAGGAATTCTGGCTCAGAATTCATTCCCAGTCAGCTCCCAAGCCTTTCCTTGGGGAGGATTCTCCTTCTGGATCCCTCAAATACAAGCCCAACAAACTGTCTAAGCAGCAGCTGGCTCTACCGGGTGGAGAGGTAGCAGGAAGTGACGTCTCAGAAGGGACCCTCCCTAGTTCTTTGGCAAGTAAAGGCAAGGAATGGGGGGGGGGAAGCACTTTCAGACTTGCAAGACCCTGTTACTGTAACTTTACATTAAAGGGAGTGCTAGGACTCATGGTTTTGATTTCCTCTCTGGACTGCCTTGAGGAGCTGAGATATCCCGTGTCTAATGATTGTCCTAGCTGTAGCTCTTCCTCCTGTCTCCCAAGGTTATTCTCACAGCCCGTCCTGTGGGGTAGGATATGTTTCTGCTCTACCTGGGGAAAAAGAGCTACTTCAATCATGGGGGCTCTCTCCTCCATTCTCCCACCGAGCACAATGTTACTCTTTGATGAACGACAACCACATCCACAACTGCAGAGGGCGCCCCCTGTTTCATGTGGTGCTTTCCTCCCTTCAGGTGCCTATTTTGGGTTTTGTCCTGAGAACGTTGATGCAGCCAATCCAAGCCAGGTGGAATCGGCAGCTCCAGAGCAAGTCCGGAACGGCCACCCCACAGATGTCTTGGAGCCCCCGGTGCCTTTCCATCAGTAGGTACCCGAGTTCCCTTGCAGGGCTTCCCTCGGTCTGAACGAGAGCTCCGGGGGTTGAGCTTATCTTCAGCGCATTGCAGTGGTGCCATTGATGGTTGGTTGAATATTACTTTCTTGAATGTGTAGATGGTTTCTGAAAGCAAACGCAGCATCTGATGGGTTGGCCTGCATAACTGCACTTCCAGTCACAGATCAAGCGGGTAAGGAGCGATAATTAAAATTGGATTTTTAACTTCTGTGTCCGTGACTTGAAGAGAACAGAACCTCCAACAGAACATGTCAATGCCGCCCGTTTACTCAACTTCCTGGCACTGTGATGGGATTCCCTTAGCTTCCTCCTTCAAACCCTCTGATCCCCTCTCCTGCCAGATCTGTTTGCGGGGAAATTCTGTTTAAAAAATTGGCTCGGATGGGTGAATGATAGAGAGAGAGAGAGAGATGGTTTCTGGGAAGACGTTAGCCAGCAGGAGAGCTCAAAAAAGCTCACTAGACCCTGGTTGCAGATCTTCAGGATCGTAAATGAAAGAAGTTTGAAGCTCCTTGTTGGAGAGAGAGGTTTCCAGAAATGGACGAATCTGCCCCTATTAAAGAAGGTGTTGGAGAGACACTCTCAGGATTGGCTGAGAAATGAGTATCCTCATCCCCATCCTGAGGGTCACTGGATGAGACCCCTTCCCTGGATCCAGGTAGATATTAAACAGGCTCAGGGGGAGCCTTAAGACCTGCAGACCCTCAGTGGCCCCTCTCTTCTGCCTTGCCACTAAAAAGAACCACCCCCTTCAAGATCTACTGCACAGTTGTGTCCTCTCACATCCTTTGTGGTGATCCCAAAAGATAGCATCAGAACTGCCCCGTCCTCCCTCTCCTGGTCCCATCAAAGCGCCTCCAGGAGCATGAGTAAGGTAGGTTCGGTGGGTGACTTCAGGCCTAAACCAAGGCTGGGAAGGACTTAGATGCCTTCACAGATTCCTCTTGGGCTCCTTGTGTGTATACTCCCACCATCATAAGGGGAAGTTTGGAGACCAGTCTCTATCCATCCAGTTTAATGGCTATACTGGTGATTAGTGGTTTTATGGATGGAAGTACAAAACAGCTGAAACCCCCCCCACAAAAAATCTGTGGAAGAGAAACATCAGCTGGGGGAGCCATCACAGGTGGCAGCTCTAGCTGTTTTTCCTGTAATAAATTATTTCTATCTGCTCTTTTTTTTCTGGTTATTGCCAGGGATATTATAGGCTAAGAAATACGCTCCACTTTTAAGATGGGTGGGTTGAATGACCTCTTATTTCTAATGTTACTCTCTGTGAAACTTGTAACATTAAAATTAACATCACTGACATGTTATGATGTCTGACTATGTTGTTTGATGTCTTCCATATCGTCCAGCCACAGGATTATCTATCGCAGTCGTCAGCCACGAGAGTGCTGTGCCAGACGAGATCAGTTTCCAAAACGGAGATAAAATTGAAATCATTGGCTATTTCGTGAAATGCATGCCTTGGTTTGTGGGAAGGCATCTCTCTTCGGGCCAGGTTGGCTTTGTGCAGAGCAGCTGTGTGGAGCCCGAGGGCTTCTTGGCCATGGCCACAGAGTAAGTACCACTCGAGTCAAGGAACGCTTGCCAGGTATCAGGTCAAGTGAGGCAGAAAAGGTCCTTCCTGACTTGTGTTGGTGATAAGGAAGCAGATCTCCTGGCCACCATCTGGGTCGTCTTCCCTGCATCAAGGAAGATGGGGGATGAGCCCACAAGACAACCACCAGCAGAATTAAAAATAATGACGCTTTTATCTTCTCATCTCCCTTCCCCCCCTACTTTTCAGACCACCCTCTTGCTCCTTCTCTTCCTCATTTTTGGGTAAGGAGGACTTGCCCTGGAAAGCCATAAAAGTCCTAAAATTGCCCTATTTCCTCCTTTCTCAGACTTCCATACATGGATTTCTTCCGGGAAGATGGTGACTCCTTCATGAAAGAAGAATCCCTCTTGGATAACCTGATCAGGCTCTTGGCACACGGTTCCCAGGAGAGCATTTGCAGCGTTTATCAAATTGGTGAGCAGTTCCAAGGTTTTGCGGGTCCCTCCCTGTGCAGGACATAGGCGCAAGGCTGCTGGGCGCCTCTTGGACTTTGCAGCTTGATAAAAAGAAAGACACAAGTGGTCGTATGAACTGCCAAGTTATATATTATTTATGTTTCATTAGCCTCCAAAGTCAAGGAACTGAATGAGCATGAATTTAAAGATTCAATCATTTGAATGCTTCAGCAGGGCGAAGCTCAAATGAGAATGAATTTAGTTGGAATATGAATTTCTTCAATTTCAAAGGATTTAGTACTGGTAGGTCATTTCTCAAGTTTTCTGCGCCTAAGAAAAATTGGAAGGCCTGCATTTACTGACACTGCAATTACTTCTAGTATGTAGAGCTGGGTACTACCGTTTATCTGAAAGGAAGCTGAGCCTCAATTTAGGAAGATGGGGGAGGGGGACGGAGGGAGGGAGGGAGGGAGGAAACAAAACAAAACAAAAGCATAAGCCTACCTGATACTTGGTGTCGTAAGGTTCTGATCTCCAGTTGAAACCATACTTGGAAATTTGTCATCACCAACCCAATAAATCTGTGTGTGTCCAGGCCCAAATTTGGCATCCTTGGGTGAAGTCACCAGGTTGTTGCAGAGTTCCCAGGATGGGAGTTCGAGTCTCTCTACAGTATTAGGCCTCCCAAAGTAGGCAGTCAATAAGCTAAACTTGGCCTGAACGATGCTCTCATTTGTCTCCTCTTACAGATGCACAGAATGACGTGGGCCTTCAGAAACCTCGCGAGGAAGGTAAAAGGTGTAAATATTCAAGACGGAGGGAACATTTTAGGTTTTTTAAAGTGGAAAATGAGGCAGAGGAGGAAACATTGGGCTGACATGATGCGTGATGGAAGTTTTACTTGGTACCAGGGGTGAAATCCAGCAGGTTCTGACAGGTTCTAGAGAACCAGTAGTGGAAATTTTGAGCAGTTCTGAGAACCGGCAAATACCACCTCTGGCTGGCCCCAGAGTGGGGTGGGAATGGAGATTTTGCAGGATCCTTCCCCTGCCGTGCCCACCAAGCCACGCCCACCAAGCCACACCACACCCACCAAGCCACGCCCACAGAACCGGTAGTAAAAAAATTTGGATTTCACCACTGCTTGGTACCTTTTATATCTATATCTACTGAAGATATTTAATGCAGGTATCTAGTGAAGGCATCTTTTATATCTTGTCTAATGAAAAGAAGGGCTGGGGCGACGTGATAGCAGTGTTCCAACATTTGAGGGGCTGTCAGAGAGAAGAGGGGGTCGGCCTGTTCTCCAAAGGCCGGGCAAGAAGTAACAGATGGAAACTTGTCAGGGAGAGCAGCAACCTGGAACCAACCCTGAGACTTGCACTCTTCCTCTTTCTGTGTCTTTCAGAAATGCCCCCTTCCTTCTTTAATGGAAAGGAGAGTCCAACTCCATGCAGAGCAGTGAGGTCACTAATGAAGATGAAGGACTTTCAGCCGACTGAAGATAAGCAGCAGCTGCCCACTTGCCACAGGCAGGAGCCCCCCCTTTTGCAGAAGCCATGTTTCTCCATGCGCCAGGATGGTACTTTGGGGCCAGAAATTCCTGATTCGTTACTGTCGTTTTTGAATCAGGAAGGCTATGAAGATGGCTTCGGGGGCCTGTACGACCCTCCATTGTCCTTCCTGAAGACGTCCATCCATGGCGATGCCACAGAGGAAGAGCTGATGGATTACTTGGCTCGAGCTCGGGCGGTGGCCAGACAAGCCGACCTGCCCTGGGCCACGACGCGGCTGTGCTACCTGCTGGGAAGAATGAGTCTCCGAAGGTTCAAGCTGTCTCAGGCTCGGGTGTATTTTGAAGAAGCCCTGGCAACCCTGCGGGGGGATTTTCGTGACCTCCACTTGGTAGCCACTCTTTACACCCATCTAACAGGCATTTACCTGAAACAGAAGAACGTGGAGAAAAGCGCTTCTTTCCTTGACAAAGCTGCCTCCTTGCTGATGGGCCTGGCCAGCGACACGGACGGTGCAGAGATGGCCCTGGAGATCTTGAAATACGCCTTGAAAAGAGCCGTGCTCAGCCAGAGCAGAAACGCCGAGGCCAGGGCCTGCTTCCTGCTGGCAAAGCATTGCCTGAGTTTCAAGCAGGGGCAGGAACCGGCCCCCTTCCTGGAAAGGCTGCAGCTGCTGCTGAATACGGGCCAGGGGTTGCCCAGCGGCAGAGGGTCCGTGGACTGCTACTTGAAGCTTGGCCAACTCTACAGCCAGAAGTGCCTGCCCCGCCTTGCGCTCAGCTGCGCCAAGGTGGTGTTTTCCCGCAGCTCCTGTTCTCTGCTGGAGCAGTTCAGGACCATCGATTTGGTGTTAAGGAATGCCTCTAAAGTCCACAGTCCCACACCTGGTGGACAAACACACCCCTCCCTCGTGGCCTTTTACCTCAGAGAACTGCTTCACGCGCTGGAAGGGAGCAGGGGCAGCCAGAAGCTGTGCAGCGTCATTTACTACGAACTTTCTCAGCTGCACAGCCGTTACAAGCAGTACGAAGAAGCCATCGGCTACATGGAGGAGGTTCTAGAGCTGAACACGAGTAGGCGAGCGGTGGAAGACACCATTAGCCACTTCATTTTCCTCAGCTGGCTCTACATCCTCCATCAGCAGACTGACACGGCTCTGTGCATTTTAAACGCAGTCGCAGAGTCCCCCTGGAGCACCCGCCAGCAGTTGGGTGTCATCCATAACATGGCGGCCATCAGTCTGAGACAGAGGAATCAGCCCAGGCGAGCCGTGGAGAGCTACTTCAAAGCTCTGAGCATTTCCAGAGAGACGGGCAGCGTGGCTAACGAGGCAGTGGCTTTGGCCAACCTGGGCATCTTGTGCCTGCACTCGTCTGCCCAAAGCCTGGGGGAGCATTTCTTGATCAAAGCCATCCAGCTCTTCTCCGAACTCTCCAGTGGAGAATGTGGGGGGAACTTCGTGGCCATCCTCCTCCGGCTGGGGCACCACTACACCCGTGGGGCTCAGAAGGAGAAGGGGAGGAATTGCTATGAGTGGGCCTTTCTGGTGGCGATGGAACGCGAGGATGTGGAAGGTAAATTCATTTCCCGGGTTCACAATTAGGATAAATGATGCCGTGCAGCTTTTCCCCAGTTATCAAGGCGAAGGGCCCAGAGGAGCTAAGCTGGGTATCTTATGGTTTGAGGGCGTTGCTCAGGTTTCTTTTCTCCACTCAGACACGCATTTCAAAGCAAGTCTGCTGCCTTTGCTTCTCCCTCTGCTATGACCTGGAACCATCAAGGGACAGAAGACGCAGGAAGAGACGGTGGAAGCTTCTGCCTCCTCCTCCTCCTCCTCCTCCTCCTCCTTCCTATTCAATACCCAAATTCTTCAGATTATGGTTTGAGTAGGGCTCTAGGTAGAGTAAGACTGAGTTTTATATGCCTTCTTCCTTCTTATGTTCAAAATTCAAATTTGCTTTTAAGAAATGGTGACCTTTCACGAGCTGCCTAGAACAGGCAGGAAATCCCTAGAAGCCGAAATGCTCTTTGGTGATGCTCTAATAAAGAGCATTTGTGGCTTATTACTGTTGATGTGATTCAGGCAGTTCACTGCATGGAAAGTGACGGCCACAAGTAAAGGGCTTCTCTTCAGGCTGGTGAAAAGCTGTGGGGGCCGAGGGCGTCATGCTGTTGGAAGACTTTGTGGCATTAATGGGCCAACCGCTCCTCCTTTCTAGGGCAACTCCAGGCTGTCCAGCACCTGTGTCATTTCCACAGCACGGTTGTCCCAGATCCAGCGCAGTGTGTCCTCTACAACGAATATCAGCTCACCCTGGTTAGGAAGATGTCCGACAAGGTCATGGAAGGGCAGGTGCTAGAGACCATCAGCCATCTCTACCTGTCTCTGGGAACAGAAAGGTAGGAACTGCAACGCACGAGCTTCCAATGAAGAGGTTTTGTCACTCAGCCGCTTTGGTAGTGAGCTGGACACAAAAGTGCCCTTCTGCAGGGAGAAGAGGCTCTCTTCCCTTCGACAAAAGGTTACTTTATCCCAAGAACAGGCCCTCTTCTGATGTCTGGGATCAAAGTTTCCATCATCGTCAGCCAGTTTACCCTGGCCTGGCCTGAGCTCTGCTGGCCAAGCAGCGTTCTTCAGCCCTTCCCCACGGTTGCTGCGGAGGGATGCTCGCATTCTCTCTAAGGGGGAGGGGAGGGTCAGGCATTTCGGTCTTTCAAGTTAAGTGACCCACAGAAAGAGGCTTCTGAGAGGTGCTGAGAAGAGCCGGATTCTGATACTGCAGGGAAAGCCCTGGAGGATCTCGTCCTGCCCCCTCCTTTCTGACTCTATGAGCTTCACGACGAGCAGAATTTCAGCTGGTGGAACTTTCCTAAATTCTCTCATACTGAGAGCTCCGGGTGCTCCATTTTTATCCCTGTGTGGTGCAGGAACCATGCTAGAAAAAAATCCCACCAGCTGGGAGAGATTGGTTGGCTGCAGTTCTGCATGAGGATCTCTAGAGCTGGTGTTGATGATGTGACTATAGATCTCGTAATATTTCTGTCCAAGCGTTGCTAGTTTGATCACAGTCTCCAAAAAGATTCTAATCAGAATGGTTTCCGCAGCTGATAAATAGATATCAATGGTGTATCTGAATAAAATCTCAGATAAGAGGGAGAATATCCCACAGCAGATAGAGCAACTGGCTCAGAGTGGAGCCTCCATAAGTCAGCAGGCTGTAATGGTGATAGTGGGAGATTTGTACTTTCAGACTTGCAAGATTGATGTATGCCTTTCAGGCAGACCAGACAGAAAACACGTCTGGATGAGCTAATTCGGCTTTATTGTAAAGCTACATCCACAGGATCGTGCAGTTCTAAATGTACAATTCTCCCCTGTCACTCCCAAGGGTGCTTTTTCCAAAAGGCAACTGGACCGTTTTCTTTGGCAATGTTTCTCTTCTCACCTAAGAAGGGTCTTCAGTTCTGAACTGATTGGGAAGCTTCTCAACCATGATTTTGGTTTCATGGGTTTCCTGCACATGGCAGAAGGTTGAATTAAAGGATCCACATGAGTGGATCAAAATAATCTGTTGGTGGGTCCTCAGAGGTTTTGAGAATAATACAAGGTCAGCCAGACAGTGTTTCTCCTTCTCCTTCAGGGCATGCCGGTCTGCTCTGGACTACCTCAAGAGGAGCCTTGGGATATTCATTGATCTTCAAGCCAAAAATAAGGAAGCTCAGGCCTGGCTCCAGGCAGGAAGGATCTATTATGCACTGCGGGAGAATGAATTAGTTGACGTTTATATCCAGGTGAGCGGAATGATCTAGGGAGGCCACTGAAATTGACCTTTTCCTCAGTTGTTTTAACTCAAAAAAAAAGAAAGAAAGAAAGAAAGAAAGAAAGAAAGAAAGAAAGAAAAGAAAAGATGTTAATTTGGTTGTTTTTAAAATGACCTGTCTAGCAAATAGGAGATGGGTCTTTCAGCCATATCTTGATGCCCTCTGAAATTTACTAAATTTACTTTTCTCAGGAAGAGCAAATATACTTACAACTAATTATTTCCATATATCTCAATATTTGAGAAAAGTAAACTTAGTAAATTCTTTTCTAATGAATAGAAATATACACTTTCTAGCTGTATCTCCCTTTCACAATTTGTAATGGTGTTGCTCTCATCAGAAGTGTCGATTGCTCCTTTAAATTCTATCCCTTTCAGTTGAAAAATTGCATGTAAGTTTGCTTTTCTCCAGACAGCCAGTTAGAGGTGGGAATCTCATTGTAGATCAGGTCCCACAAACCCATGCTGAATCACCCCCCACACGGATTCTTCCAGATGCTCTTGCCTAGCCCACCTTCTCTGTGGTGCCTTTAGCATCTTCAAGATGTCACCAAGCCTTGGCTGAAAGGATGGAAAGTTTTGTGGCTGTGATTTGGGGTGATTCAAGAAGATCCTCTACATTTCCAGCAAAGAGGAAATGACCCGGTTCTTATTCAAATGTAAAATGTGACATCAGAAGAGGCGGCTAGCGGCAGTCCTAATTCTCTAAGGTCTATTTATGGAACACTGGAAAAAGAAGAAAGTGGATTACAAGCAGCTTTTGGTTGCGTAGTGCTTCTGTTTGAACTGTTCCCTTTTGTGTTGCTCCGTCTCGTAGAACCCTCCTTTCCTCCTAGGTTGCTCACAACGTTGCTCTGAGTTCTCAGGACCCCAATTTAGAAATGGAAATGCTTGAAGCCTCGGGAGACATATTTTTCAACGGAGACTGGGAAAAGGAAAAAGCAGCGCCCTTCTACAGGGTGGGTATCCTCTTCCTACCCTTCGCCCGGGTCGTCCTTGAGACGTCGGGCAGATAAGGCTGGGTGACGCCTTTGTGATGTTACACTCTGCAAGACCGTCCTTTGTGTCCTGCTCTTGTTTTAGGACAAGGCTCTGCCACTTGCCACGAAGGCCAAAAACGGCAGCGCTGAACTTCGCCTCTTCAACAAGTTGGTTGGGTTGTTCTTGACCTTACAGAAGTATGAAGAATGTCTCGGATACGCCCAGACGTCATTAATGCTCAGTGTCGATTTAGGTAAACCTGTCCAGTGCATTTCCGAAAATCACTTGGGGATGTCAATGAAGACTCTCGGTCATCCGGGCAAAGGTGTCTGAAGGGTGACCCATGGCAACCAGACTGTTTTTTTTGTTAGCTTCAGATGTTTTATTGCTCATCCAAGCAGCTTCATCAGTCAGAGCAAGTCAGTAGGCAGAGTCTCGTTGGAATGTACCAACTCCTGCCACACCAACCTCTAAGGGGTTTCCTCCCCAAAATGCATTTATTTTATTTTATTTTATTTTAAATTTATATACCGCCCTTCTCCCTGAGGACTCAGGGCGGTGTACAGCTAGAATTAAAAAACATGAAATACAAATATTAAAAACAATTAATATATATATAAATTTGGCCCAAAATTAAAAATACAAACCAATTAAAACATTTAAAATTTAAAATTGCAATATGTCCATTAAGTCATACAGATAAAGGTGTCTGAAGGTTGAATCCTGACTCCCAATGACTCTCTGCCTACCTGACTTGCTCTGACTGATGAAGCTGCTTAGATGAGCTGTGAAACGTCTCCAGCCAATAAAAAAAATTAGTCTGGTTGCCCTGATTCAACATTCAGGGCCTTAGGGATGATTCAGAGTTGCAGAGAAAGAGGCACATCATTGGCCTAGTTGTGTCACTGCAGTCCCCACAAATGCTTCCTAGGTGCACAGAAGGGTGGGAAAAGGAAGGCTGAATCCAGGGACTGACAGCCTTGTCCAGGAGGTCTGCAGTATGTGGTCAAAAAGGCCCATTTCATGGCCACTGGGGTTCCATCAAAGCTTTTCCTGCTGCAGACACCCTCGCCCCAATTACAGTAGGAGAAGCTGGGAGCAAAGTCTTCAGCCTGTGGGCAATGAGGGTCTGGCAGGAGAAATTGGAGAAGGGCAGAACAAGGTTGGGAGCTCCTTGCAAAGGCAGGAAATTTCATGCCTTGTTATGGAGAGTCCCTGCCATCAAATCTTGGAAAAAGCTCCACTAGAGGAAATCTCTTTGAGGAAGACTCAAAAAGTGGAAGACTCAAAAAGGATGAGTCAGCCTCCTTGCTACACTGGGGTGCAACCACTTTTTGGGATTATTTTGTTGATGTATGCAAACATTTGTATGCTGCCTGCTCCATAGGACTCCAGGTGGCTTAGAATAACAGCAAGTTATTCCCAACCGAGTGGCTAAGGCAACTCTGCCACTCTTCACCCCCAAATGTTGCCAAATGACCCAATGCAAGGGCTCAGGGAGCTCCAGACTGCAGGGCTAGCATTAGGGCTAGCATCCTCCCCTCCACTTCAGAGGGGGTGGGGGCCCTTGGCGTTCCCTCCCTGAGAGAAGGGCCAGAGGGCACTGGGTCTTGCTGGGAGGGACAGCCTGGAAGCTCCTGGCAGTTGAGCCACATGAGGCCTTTTTTTTTTTTTTTAATTTGATTTATATGCCGCCCTTCTCCGGAGACTCAGGGAGGCTTACAATGCGCTAAGCAATAGCCTTCATTCTTCTGTATATTTATACAAAGTCAGCTTATTGCCCCCACAATCCGGGTCCTCATTTTACCTACCTTTGAAAGGATGGAAGGCTGAGTCAACCTTGAGCCTGGTGAGATTTGAACTTACAGTAATTGCAGGCAGCTGGTCTTAATAACCAGCTTAATAACAGGGTGCCTTAGACCACTGTACTACCAAGGCTCTTTGAGTCAATGGCCACACTGGGAACTGATCCTGGTAGCAACCCAGTGACTGTGGCAGCTGTGTCCCATTGCTCCTTCTGCTGTCCTCCCTGGCAGCCAGGCCACGGTAGTTCAGGCCAATTCAGAAGAACGGGCTGAAGTTGTCTAATTGTCACAATTATTCAGTCATCAGAGCATCCCAGTTCCATAAATCTATAGCCTCCAACAGCTGAATGACCTTCTGAAGCCTATTTATAAAGTGGCGGGGGTGGGGGGTGGGGGAGTGAAATTAACACAAGAAATCTTTGGATTCCAATTGTAGTTTCTAAAACAGAAGTTAAATCTCTGCCTGTCAAAGCCTTCCACAGATTCGTCATTCTTCATGAATAGGTTAGAAAATTAAAACGTGAGGATTTTAGGCTTCGTCAGAGTTGTTGACGGTATTTACATTCGGTATTCATTCGAGACTGTTCTTCCTGCAGCCCCTACTCCCAACAGCCCAGCCCAGGTTGGACAACTCTTGACGCAACATCTCAAGCGTCAGTTTTGGAGGCTTCCAAGACTGTTTGGCAGCTAGAATTCTGCCAAGCAGGCGAGTCAGAATCCAAACTATTCTGGGAAATTATGCTTCCTGTCATACCCTGTAGAAGCAAACACAGTGGCCAAGAACCCTTCTCAAGAACTTTGATGAATTTTATTGCAGCCATCAAAGCAGGTATCTCAGCACAAGCACAGAGCCACATCCTACGTTAAAGAGACATCGTGGTTCTCTTGATGGCATATTTTTAGGTCTGCTGTTCACTACCAAACCTGGTGAATCAGGACCACCAGCCCTGATCTGCTGCCTGCCATCTTTCTCTCTTTCATGGCCGGTTTTCTCTTTGCTTCTTTGCTAGGAGACCAGCTGAGTGAGCGAGTGGCCTACCACCGCCTGGCGGTCATCCACCATCACTTGGGGCAGTGTGAACTGGCCGAGCACTTCTTCCTCAAAGCCGTTTCCCTCTGCCCCTCCCCACTGGAGTTTGACGAGGAAGCCCTCTATTATGTCAAAGTGTACCTTCTCCTGGGAGACATCACCTTCTACGACCTGAAGGTAAGACAGGAATGAGCACCTGAAGACGGGAAATTGCTTCACCTGGTTTTGGAATCTTTACTTAGTAAGGGAGACCCAGGAGAACAGACCAGAACAGGAGGAGAATAATCTATGCTAAGCGTAGTTTTTGTCATGTTTCCCCCCAAATAAATTGGATTATTTTACCAGAAAGGCAGAGATGCACAAGAAGAAGCTCACCGGAGGCCAGTCTACACCTCCCAAGATCCATAACTTCTTAATGGCAGTTTCTCTGTGTCCCCCTTTCCTCCTTAATTTGATGAGGAAGCCTTGCTGATTCAGAGGACTTGGACTGTGGTGGTTTTTCTGATGATATTTCCCCCAGTGACTGCTGCCTCTGCCTTCCCCTGTGCATTGTCCCCTTTTTGAAGAATTTGTGCAAAAAAAAAAAAAAAGGGAGGCAACCAAGGTGCAGCCTTTGGGCCACAGCCTCTTGCACTCAAAGATTGCAAAATGTTTTTGTAGAAAGAAAAGGCTCCTAATTTTAGACAAGGGAATGTGCCGTCCTCATTAAGCTGATGCTTGTTCTTGCACATCTAAACAACCCTCCAGGCCCAGCACCTTCCTGCATTCTTTGCAAACTCAGGAAGCTTCTCCTCTCCCTTCCACCTGCTTGGGAAGCCAGGAGAGAAGCCGTTTGTCATCACTCTCGGGACACCCCAAACAGAAGTGAATTGGGGAGATGAGACTCGTGAAGAAACCACGGGAGGAAAGGAAGAAAGTGGGGGATAGGGCTGGGAGGCCTGGAGTGACGCCATGGCAGGCAGACGAGGGGCAGGGCCGGGGGAACTGTGGGGAGGGTCAGAGCGTGGAATGAAGCCGCTGGAGGCGGTGGTGGCGGCACAGAAACCGCCCAACCATCGCTTGCCCCCTTCCCGGCAGAGGGAGCGAGGGAGGCAGGGGGACCACAAAAGGCACTCTGGCTTTTCATGGCCCAGAATGAGCTTTGCCACCATTGCCAAATCTCAGTGGCAGATGGGTGAGTTTGTGTGTGTGTATGGGGGGGAAGGATGTCTTTTTGTTCAAGCAAAAAATTGCAATGTTGAGGTTGTGGTTGTTGCTGTGTTACTTTTGCAGGTGTCAACCTAGGCAAGGACGTCCCTAAAGAAACAGAAAGTCTTTTCTGCCATGACTTGCTTTTTTGGCTTTTAGAGTTGAGTGAGCAGAGCCGCTAGTGGGAACAGCAAAGAGTGAGGCAGAACAGAGTTATTGCTATCTGCACCGTGATTGGTTGCTGTGGGTGTGGAGGGGGGGTTTCCCTTTTTTCCCGCCTTTTTTCTTCTGAGTGCCCTGTGCGCTCTGGGATTTACCTCACGATGCTCCTCTTTGCCTGACTACCTTGTTTTGTGTGTGTGTGTGTGTGTGTGTGTGTGTGTGTGTGTGTATATGGGGGGAGAGAGAGAGAGAGAGAGAGAGAGAGAGATGTAAAATATATTTATATAAAACTACAAGTTCGTGTTGGCGTCTCTGACCTTGACAGCTGCTGTGCAATTCCCTGACTCCCTTGTTGTTTTCCTAGACTTTGACTTACCGACCGGCCTGTTTCAATTTTTTTTTTAAAAAAAAGTAATCACAGACCCTCTATCGCTTAATGTTTCAGGATCCTTTTGATGCTGCAGGATACTACAATCTGGCACTGGCTGCTGCCATGGATTTGGGGAACAAGAAAGCGCAACTGAAGATTTACACCAGACTTGCCATAATTTACCACAATTTCCTTATCGACCGAGAGATGTCTCTCTTCTTCTATCAAAAAGCCAGAGCCTTTGCCACGGAGCTAAATATTTGCAGAATCAACCTCTCTCCAGACCAGCCTCCCAGGAGAAAAGTCCTGTGAGCCTCTCCTCTGGACACTGGCTGGAGGGCTTGCGAGGGACAGAGAGCAGCCCCCCTTTTTCTGGCACCTGAGTTTCTGAAGCACTCGGTATCTCCTCCTCCTTCCCACCCATTCCCCCCAAAATAAGGACAAAGTCAAGAAAAGGGCATCAGGGATGATCCTGGAAGGAGCTGGCTATGAAACTACAGAACAGTTGAAGTCAGCAAACAGTGATCAAGCTCAAATGAAAGCATTTAACCGAAAATAAATATGATAAAATAATACATATACATACTTAACATTTTCTCATGCTCCAATTTTAACACAGTTCCAAGTTTGTTTGGGAAACGGCGTTTAGAGTATGAATATGTTACCTGAGGCAGCAACTGATGGATCTCCATATGAAAGATTAAAGTAATAATGTTCAGTGGGGCACCCAGTTACAATCTGAGGATTTTACTAGCACCCCCAAAGAGTGGTCTCATCAAGATCTGTTCAACATCCTTTTCAGCCTCTTGTGCCCATGAAGGGTGGTTGTGGTCTTCACGAGATGTTCTGAAGGATGAAGAGTTGGGCCTTGGTCTAATCTTCAAGGTGGGTGAGAAAGAAAAGTTCAAATATGTCTGAGCCATTCAAGAGAACTTGACAAGGCGTGAACGAGGAAGTTGGGTGCCTTCCAGTACATTCCCTTTATAGCAACTGTCACTGTCCATTTCAGGATTATCCTTAGATGCTCTTCCCTGTAACTGAGCCAGTTACAACAGATTCCTTCTGTTGTAGCAGAACATGGGTGTTCTTATCCTGGAATAAATCCGACAGGAATTTCCTCAGCCCAAAAGCAAGAAGGAACTGAAGGTCAATGAAAGAAACACTGGATGCCCAGTTCTGTGCATGCAAGGTGGCCTCTTTCCTCAAATCAACACACAGTACAGGGTGACAAATTTGTGGAATGGTTGGGGGTTCTCCCAGAACTCTACCTTACCATGAATATTGTCATGTTCTTCTTGCAGATGCTTTTTCTTTTACATCTTAACTGTGGGGGTTTATGCGGTATCAGACAATTTTTTTTGTTTGCAAGCTGTTATGAATTTGAATGGACATACTGAACAAACATCGTTAATATATTTTTATTACTGTACAGACATACACGGCTATGGAAAACTGAGTCAACCAGATCCAGATTGCAAGATTTACCTTATAGATAGTGGGAGCCTGAATCAAAAGGATGCAGCAACCAGCTCATACTAGATCCCAGCTGAAATTTCCTCAGCCACTTACTTCTTCAGGATTGGATTCCAACCCTGAGATTCGATAATGCTTAAGAACAGAAATGGCCCCTTTTCCTGATTCAAGGTAAAGTCTGGATTGAGGACACTTCCTGATCTGTATCCCAGCTAGGAAGAACCAGGTCTCAGAAGCAGACTGGCTAAAAAAAGGAGGCGAAAGATTTCCTCATCTCACTGGCAAAGGGAGGGAGGGAGGGTGGGGATATGCCAAGTCCATTGCCAGGGTTTCATGGTCCCCTTCCTTTCTCTTTGGAGACAAGCTGCTCTTCCCTAACAGAGCCTTCCAGGCACCTAGCAGATGGAAGGTCAAGAGAGACATTCAGAGCTTTCTCTCCAGCGTTGGTTATTCTAAAACTGTGATGGCGAACCTCTGGCAAGCGTGCCCTCTCTATGGACACGTGAGCCGTCGCTCCGCCGTGCATGTGCGCGTGCCTCCCTCTGGCCAGCTGGTTGTTGGGTCCCTGCCGTGCATGCATGGGGGGCATGTGTGCATGTACGGAGGGCATGCGCACTGCATTTTGAGGGCTCGGGCATGCACGCGCATTCGCACATGTGCGCTTTGGGCACTCGGTCCAGAAAAGGTTAGCCATCCCTGTCCGAAAACCTTAAGAAAGAAAAAAAACGTGGAGAATTAAAAGAAAAAGAAAAAAAAAGCCTTCCTTCCAGAATGACATCTCAGAGGAACTGAAATATGCCATTCCTGTTTGCTACAGGATTGGGCTGCTGGATATTTTGCCTTCTGTGATGAGACGGAAAACACTGATGTCAGATGCAAAATAATAACTTAATTCAATCTTAAAACCTTTCCTGAAGAATAAGACGATATTAATCTCATGGACCAAATGCAAATATTTAAAGGGACATCTACAAAAAAAGCTGCTGGCTTTCAACGTGGTCAGTAACTTGCGGACAGAAAGCTATTTTAACAGATTATTGTTCGAGAAGCAACTGGACTTTAAATGTCAGGAATGCTGAACTGGCAGAGAAGGAACATTCCATCATTTTGAAAGCAGACAAGAAGCCAGTTCAGGGAAGCTTCCATGGGGAGGCCCTGCGGTGCTTGGCTGTTTCTCCTAAGCTCGGTGTCTTCTTTCATTTCCTTTCACATGATCCTTTCCCTCCTGCGATGAAGGTTCACTAGCAGCTCGGTGGGCTTTCCTGTTTACATTCTGGACCTCAACTTGCCCACGACAGGTTTGTTGTTACAAAATTCTGACCACCAGGAAGGTCTTTCCAGGGTCTTTGGGGTCTGAAGAACCCCACTCCACAGATTTTTATATAGCTGGAGAAACAAAAAACAAGAAAGGTTTCGGTCAAAACAGGAGGTTTTGAAGGAAAGAAAAGGAAACCGATCTAAGAGATTGGTAATGCAATTCTGTGATGCAATTCAGAAAGTAAGAAGATGGAGCCCCAAGGGGGGGCGAGCCCGCTTACCTCTCCATCGGCCTTGGCAATTGGGGAACTGAGGACAAAGTCAGGGGGGGCAATGACATCCACCAGAGTCACTGCTTCATTCTTCAACTAGGAGAGAGAAGGGGGAGAGGGGGTGTTGAGAAAGGGAAACTGGCCATCAGTTGAGGAGTCCACGGCAACAACAATGGTAGAAGACCAGCATAATTGACCAGGCAAAGATCTATCTAGACTTAGTTTTTAAGCTGTGCCCATGATTTGCTTTGTTTCAGAGAACTTGGCTAACACATTTTCATGAATGACACAAGGCTAATAACACCAAACAGTAATTGCCAACGGCTCCAAAGGATCTCTTTAAAGTAGACAAAGGAAGCTGGAATTGGAAAATGCAGCTCTGGGGAGGCAGATGGGAAGTGACCCCTCTTGTTTCTCTCAAGTCAAATTTCCCCCTCGCTACAGGGACCTGAACTGGCTGTGACTTGCTGGGACGGGCAAGCAGGTTACAAATGGTCTAGAAAGTGAGGACATCGCTTGGGGTCATGCACTGAAGCTAAACACGGGGAGGTTCAGGATCTGAAGAGCTTCCTGGGTCTTCCCTTACATTGTAAGAGAAGTTACAATGAACCTGACGCCTTGCACTTAAATATCCACTGAAATCTGATGGGATCGACAAACTTTCAAGATCTCAATAGTCCCTACTGAAACGTACCTTTGAACAAAGTTCCAGAATTGAATCCTGTATCAATTTACCAGCATTTTCACCTGAAAGGTAGCCACCTGAAACGTATTTAGAGCAATAACACATTCAGAATGAACAGTTCATTCATACTGAAGCACACTTAAGTTCCTGTTGGGTACACAATATGCAGAAATAATTCCCAAAATAAACTGAAGGCGCTGTACTGAGGATTAACGCTCTGGTGCTTTGCATTTGAGACCTTCCTGACTACAAGATATGGAAACAGCATGACTGGGAAAGGTTCCCCATCTCACTGGGAAGGAAGGAAGGAAGGAAAGGAAGGAAGGAAGGAAGGAAGGAAGGAAGGAAGGAAGGAAGGAAGGAAGGAAAGGATTCAGGAGGGAGCTGCTCTTCCTGGGCTGAGGGCAGGACTGTCTCCTGTGTGTGGAGAAGAGCGAAACATCCCACTGAAAAGGGTGAGGAGGAAATTCTCCTGCCCAGAGACGGACAGCACCTGGGGATTCGCAAATTGTGGCTCTGAGTGTGGAAGGGCCTGGACAGGCAGATCCAAGAGACACCTGCTCCTCTTCCCACAACCGCCTGGCCCCACCAACATCTCGGGGGAGGAGGGGATCCTGAATCCAGAGTGCTGCATGGCCTCCCTTAATAGCCTGCTGAGGGGCGTGTGTGTGTGTGTCCCAGGCCTATGGAGAAGCAGCGTCTCTTAACAAGGAAATCTGGACATTCAGCAGTAACCAAGCCAGGCTTACAAGTAGCTGATAATTAATCTGCTGATTTTACTTAGACTCAGTCTGGCCTGGATTCTACTTAGAACAACTTAAAAATAGGTTAAGTAACAGAATGGGAGATTTAAAGTTATTCAAGGGAAATACATCACCCCTCTCTAGAAAAAGAGGCATGGCTAAAAAGCTAAAATGCAAAAGTACAGAGGCTGAAATTGTAAGGGTGTAATGTATTTCGTCCTTATATTAAATGGTACAATTTGGGCATTTTGATTTTTCAGCGGGTTAACAGATAGGATGAATTGGAAGTGTTATGCAACAAACATCTATGGGTCACAGAGCTCACAAAAAGACATAAAGCCAACCTCACCTTGGTAGAGTATTGCCGTGTGCTTATTTAAAGACCAGAGTCCATAGAGTGAACAAATGCGCTTTAGTACTGGCTGAAGATTTACTGGTGTGCCAGGACTGTGCACGTGTTTGTGGTACTTTTGTAAAACGGTGTGCTCAATAAAAGCTATAGCTAAAGAACGACAGTAATACACCTGTGGAAAAAAGGGAAAGCGTACTTCAGGATGACCATTTAAAAGCAGAGCTACAAATATAACAAATTGTGCCTTCACCCACAAAGGCTGTCCGTGGAATTAAAGTGAGTGGGGGCTGCTCCTCTCACTTGAAGGAAAACCTAGAACTCTCTGAAATTAGAACCGGAAGTTACCTGGCTGTTGTTCTTTGCCTCAAAATCAGCACAGCCGCTTTCTTCCTGCTTCCTCAGTTTCTGGATGCTTTCTCGGAGCAAGTAACAAACCAGCCACTTGTAGGCGTTCAAAGCCACTGGAGGAAGGAATGGCAGTTGTTTTATACATTCATTCAGGCAATTCAACGTGATGACGGGGAGAGCGAGCAGCAATACACCTAATGAACGTCACTGGATGCATTATGAGCATTGCCAGAAGTCAGGGCCATCTGCAAACTGGAATTTTTTTCTTGCGTGCAGTTCATAAAGAGGAAAAGGATCAATAGACATCATGACCAACAGATCCCAGGGAGATGAACCCATTTTCACAAACATTGGGAAGTTCACTTAATGCGCCAAGATCGTGGCTGTTGTGGACTGCCAGCTGCCAGTGGAGCTGGCAGCAGACTCGGACGAGGCTGGGGAGGAACTTGGGCCAGTTCTGGGGTCTGAGGAAGGCTCTGATGGATGCTCTGTGTCGGAAGCAGAGATGGAGCCAGGGCCATCCGACATTTCCGAGCCACTGGAGAGGCAGCTGCTTTGGGAAGTTGAGATAAGTGGGGAGGAAGAACAGCTGGGGCCTGTTCCAGATGCATGTATGCGCAGAGCTGTTAGGAGAGGAGAACGACGGAGGACAAGGAGTTGACTCGGGAAGCAAAGCACATATGGACGCTGAATGGCCCCTCCCTGGCTGGGGAATAAATAGAAGGAAAGGGGAGTAGGGGCTGTAGAGACAACCATTCGGACTTCTGAAGATTTGGCTCATCATGTTTCCTGCCTGAGAGACTGCTTGCCAGAACTTAATTTACAGCTTTGGGGCTGGGAAACGCCCGGCCTGGAAATTATCTCAAGGAACTGATAAGGTCTCTCACTGCAGTTAACTCTTTGAAGGACTAATGCCTGGACTTTTTGGGTGTGTGAATGTCATTAATTCACAAGAGATAAATAAAGAGGGGTTTTTTTGGGGGGACAAGGAGTCTGTTTCTTGTTTCTGCTAAGGCTGGGTCAGAACAGTGGCTCTTCATTTCAGGAACCAAAGTGCAAATGTCTTCAAGCCGCCCTTCTGATGACTCCCCTCTGCCGCCCCCCCACCCAAAGCCCCGCTTCTGCCCTGAGCCTCCTCCCACTGGTCCCCTTCCTCAGGAGGGCCAGACAACCCCAGGCTCCTTGGAGCCAAACAGCTGATGAGCACCCACCAGCCCAAGAATCACAGAGCAGGGGGCTCTCCTCCAGAACATTCCGTGGGCCCGAAAGGAGATCCATGCAGCCCATCCTGGAAGGGAAGAGAGAGCTACCTGAAGAGTCCATGAGGTCTTGGGCATCTGGAAGCACGAATTTCTGACGGAGAATATCATCATAATCATTTAAAAAATCGACCGATCCCATGGGCGACGAAACAGGATGGCCTGCAGATGAAACGCCAGAGACATCAAATCCAAATCCCCATCCAAAACGCCCCAATGACTCTGAGGCCCGGTGAAAGTCGGATGCTCTTCTCTGCGTTCGCTGAGCTCCGAGCACAGCAACCCCCGGTCCTCCCCCCTCGCCCCCCCCTTCACCTTGGGATCTCTCGCTCATCCACCGCAGCAGGTAGTTGCTTGTTTGCTGCAACAAAACATTGTTGTCTCCTTCGTAAGTGCAGTTTGGGTCATTGTCATTACGGATATCGCCCAGACGATTCACTGGAGGTCAGGGATAAAGAGCACACAGAAGACACAAGCATTACGAAGGAGCCGTCACCTACTTAAAAGCTACAAAAAATCCTTCTTATTGAAAATTACCAAAAAAAACCCCCCAAAGCCCCAACCTCCGTCAAGGTCAAGTGATTTTTAAACCTTGACCTCCAGCTGTGGGACGCACACGGCTCGCAAAACTTTATGGTGCTGAGTTGCGAGTATCCCGAAAAGGCCCAGATTCCCCTTTCCGTGGAAAAACTGGAGTGAACCTTAATTATTTCGCTCACTTCTATCTGCCTGTCAATTTTCAAGCATCCAAGGAGCTTGGTAACAAAAGACAAGGGGTTCGGTCGAATGCAAACAGCTGCAAGAGGAAGCGATGGGCAGGTAGTTCTCCACTTACAACAGTTCATTTAGTGGCCCTTCAAAGTTACAATGTCACTGAAAAAAGTGACTTATGACTGATTTTTGCACTCAACAACAACTGCAGCATCCCCACGCTCATGCGATCAAAACTCAGGTGCTTGGCAACTGTCTCATATTTATGACGGTCACAATGTCCAGGGATCATGTCAGTGGTGGGTTGCTACCGGTTCGTCCCGGTTCGGGCAAACCAGTAGCAGCGGCAGTGGGAGGCTCCGTCCAGCCACCCGGACGTCATCAAATACGCTCTGCGCATGCACAGAAACTTCTGCACATGTGCAGAAGTGGTGCATGCGCGAGCAAACCGGTAGCAAAGGTAAGCGAAACCCACCACTGGATCACGTGATCCCCTTTTGAGACCTTTTGATACAAGCAACGTCAATGGGGGAACCGGAGTCACTTCACGGCCAGGTTACTAACTTAACAATCACAACGATTCACCCAACAACTATGACAAGAACGGTCATAAAACTGGGCAAAACTCACGTAACAAATGTCTCACTTAACAAATTTTGGGCTCCATGGTGGCCAAAGACTACCTGTATTTACCTGTTAATCTTGTCAGAATTAAACCTTTAGTGCATCACCAGGTGCCTACCGCCTCCCTCCCCTCCCTCCCTCCCGACTGCTGGCTTGGAAGCACTGTCTCACTTACTGGCCAGGTAGCCGTGTCCCCCGCAGGCTTCCCGGCATTCTTGGATGGCTTCCTGGGTGAGCCAGGAGGAGAGGGGCTTGCCCGAGGTGGACAAGGCATGGATCTCACGGCCCAGCTCAGCCTTGGGGAAGAGGAAGGAAGAAGAGAGTGGTCACCACCCCAGCTCCCCACCCCTTCAGGAGCACCAGCAGTGTCCCCCCCTCTTCCCCCCCACCCCGGGGAAAAGCAGACAGAATGGGAGAACTGGGCAAAAGGAAAAACATTCCGGCAGTTTCCGGTCTATCTGAGGTGCACATTCATCCCGATTCTTTTTGCATGCTTATTTAACAAGAATCCCACCTCCCAAATCCCCTCCTAAATAATAGCTAGATACAGTTGCAGAAAAGTAACAATTACTCCTATCAATAAAAAACACCCACCCACCCACCTATTTTGTAAATCTGAGAAGTTCAATATAAATATACAGACAGTCCTCAACTTATGACCACAACCGAGTCCAAAATTTTTGTTACCAAGTGAGACGTTTGTTAAGTGAGTTTTGCCCCATTTTACCCCCTTTCTTGCCACTGTTGTTAAGTGAATCACTGTTGTTGAGTGATTAACAGTTAGTTGTTAAGTTAGTCAGGCGGTCGTCCAGTGAATCTGGCTTCCCCATTGACTTTGCTTGTCAGAAGGTCTCAAAAGGGGATCACATGACCCCCGGGACACTGTGACCGTCATAGTTTGAGTCAGCTGCTGAGTTCTGATTGTGTGACCATGGGGATGCCGCAATGGTCGCAAGCATGAAAAACGGTCATAAGTCACTTTTTTTCAGTGCCATTGTAATTTAGGAATGGTCACTAAATGAACTGCTGTAAGTCGAGGACTACCTGTATACATTCAATATTTCCGTCCAAAATTATAGACTTTATCAATAAGACACGATGGCTCTTTGTGTCCTTTGCGATGACCTTGAAGTCTTGCCCCAAGCAATGTCCACCCGTTCAACGCAACGCAGTGAAGTTTGCGCCGTGAAGAGAAACGCGATCCATCACGTTCGTGGGGCAGCCATCCTGCCAAGGGAACCGAGGGATCCCAAAGGATCGCTTAGGGCCAGAGGGTTTGGTTCTGGAAGATTCCCCCACCTGCTGGGCACTCTTGTCCCTCATCAGCAGCCCAATGTGGAACTCCATGAACTTCAGGAAGAGCGCTCTGGAGAAGTAGTCCAAGACGTAGGTGGCCGCCAGGTACGGCAGCAAACGCCACTGCTGCGATTTAAGGACATTTGGGTTGGGTGAGTTGGGAGGCCCACATCCTGGCAAATACGCATCTCATCACAGGCTCTTCTGGAAGCCCCGACTCTGGAAATCCCCACCAAGGCGCACAACCGCCCTTCCACCCCCGATTCTGCTCCTGCCTCCCCCCCCCCACACACATAAAAGGCCGCCTCGGCTCCCTCCAAGACAGCGACGCGATTGGTAAAGAGAAGGTACAAAAGGCAGCACTAAAATTAATCAGGCAATAATCTCATACCTATCTAGGTTGAGAGTAAACGGGGACTCCTCGAATTATGACCACAATCAAGCCCAAAATTTCTGTTCCTAACAGAGACATCTGTTAGGTGAGTTTTGCCCCATCTGACGGCCTTCTCTTGCCACGGTGGTCAAGTGAATCCCTGCACCTGATAACTTAGCGATGCGGTTGTTAAGTGAATCTGGCTTCCCCCGTGACTTTGCTTGTCAGAAGGTGGCAAAACGGATCACATGACCCAGGGACACCGTGACCGTCATAAGTATGAATCGGTTGCCAAGCGTCTGAATTTTTCTACACGTGACCATGGGGATGCCATAGCAGTCGTAAGTGTGAAAAAAGGTCATAAGTCCCCTTTTCAATGCCGTTGTAACTTTGAATGGCCACTAAAAGAACTCTTGTAATTTGAGGACTACCTGAACTTGCATTATCTTTCAAAGTAGTCTTTTAAATTAAACTTGGAGCAGCGATGTGAGGGAACCGGCAGGGACGTCCACGCGAGGACACAGATCTCGGTTAACTCTGCTGTTCCTCTCCGTAAGGCCCGGGCAGGGAATACTGGCCAGAAGGATGCTGTAAATAGTTGCAGCTTTACGACCATTCAAAGTTAGGACAGTTACAGAAAGAGTACGGCCCATAAAGCACTCCCCCTCCCCCCCCCAGCGTTGTAAATGGCCATGCTGCCTCCCCATGATCACAGGAGCATGTACTGTATGGGGTGGGGTGTGTTTTTATGACCAACTCAGCCGTTTGGTGGTCCCATGATGAGATTCATCAGTTGAACCCCGTTTAAAGGAAAGGGTCTGTTTATTGACTGCCACAATTACTTCTGGTCAGGGGGGTTCCTCGACCTATGACCGTAATGACTTATGACCAGAACTCTTAACTGCCATGGCCCCATCGGAGCCCGGTTCGGAGGAGGAGGAGGAGGAGGAGGAGGAATGGGGACCATCTGACGGGGGAGACATGTTTGGAGAGGCCAGGGATGATGCTGTCCTGGGCCACTCTGGCATTGGGGGAGGTGGCTGACCGGACAGAGCGCTGCTTGCCCTCACAGACACAAGGGAGGATCGGCTGCTGACTGGCAGTGGGGCTGAAAGGCACTGAATCCCCCTCTGAGGAGGGGCAGCTGCCTCCTCCACTCGATCCGAGGACACAGAGGAGAGCGGAGTGGAGGCAAGCCCCACCCATCCTCACAAGGAGCTCCTGGCGTGGGTTGACATAAGCAGAGGCTGGGGGAGGGAGGGGGGAGGAAGATTGTCTCTGTTGGGAACAGTTGTTTGCTTTGCATGGCCCCCCCACCGGCCTTGGAAAAACTCAGCCTCTGCCTCGCCTTGTGCCTCTGCCCCGTGGCCTTCTTACACCTTGCCTTCCTGCCTTTGCAGAATGGTTTAGTTGCTCACTGGCTTGTGTTTGTGGGACTGTGGGTGGCTGCCTTCAGGGAGCTTTGGGGTGGAGCCTTACAGGCTATTGTAGGTGTTGTGGCCTGCCAGCAGCCTGCGCACCTGGCAGCGGAGTCAGACAGTGAGGAGGCTGGAGAGGACAATGGGTCAGTCCTGGAGGCTGGGGAAGGCCCAGATGAGGGCTCTGCGTCGGAGGCAGAGATGGGGCCAGGGCCATCTGGAAGTGATGCACAGACTCCGGAGCCTCCAGAGGCAGACAGCAGAGAGGCAGAGGAACAGGAGGAGCCTGTTCCTAGTGCACGCATGAGAAGAGCTGCCAGAAGGCAAGAGCAGCTAAAGCAAAAAGGACGACTCGGGAGTAAGGCCAGGAGATGATTGGCCCCTCCCAGGCTTAAAAGAGCAGCAACGAGCCGTTGGGTTCTTTGTAGAAAAGCAACGTTGATTCCAGTGTTTCTTGTCAGCGTCTCTTGATCTTTGTGGGGGTTTTGCCAAGAAAAAGCCTTTGGCAGATTGCCAAAGACATCAAAGGTTGGTGATAAGGCCGAAGAATTTGTTTTGGACTAAGTTTTAATAAAATAAGTTTGTTCAGGACTGAATTGTATTTGGTAATCACTACGTGGGCCTCGGTCACAACAGTAGGGTTGTTGGTTGCGGAATTTAATAACTTAACCGCCATAAGGGATTCTATGGCCGGCTGCCTCCGCCTAGGCGACCTGGGTCATCGCATCCACTGAATTATAGGAAGCAGAGGCTACCTGCACCCTGAGACCCGTCGCCTGGTGAGAACTAGACTTCCCCTTGCACCGGCTCCTGGCCAGGCTGCCTTTACCTGCATTTGGTATTCCAGGACAGGAATCTCCTCAGCGTCGCTTGGCCCGAACTGGCGCCGGGTGGCGGAGAAGCGAATGGCTATCGACACGGCCAGCTTCAGATTGACCACAGACATGGCGATGATCATAACTCTCCCGCTGGACAAGGTGCCCAGTGAAGCCCCCAAACGCCGCTTGTGATCCTGGGGAAACACAACCGTCCCGCAAGGAAGAGTTCACCCCGGCCTTAACACTGAGAGAGCAAGTCCTCCCGGGCTACGGCCACTCTGCTGAAAACCAGCCCGTGAGGAAGAAGCAGGGAGAACGGAATCGAACTTCCATACGGTGAAGAGCCTTGATTTAGTCTAGTGCTGACGGCTCCAGGCTGGAAACCAGGAGAGGGAAAGTTCCAGCCCTACGTTAGCCCTTCGTGACTCTGGGCCAGTCCCCCTCCCTCAATCCCGCCCACCCCAAAGGGCTGTTGCGGTGGGGAAAATGAGAGCAGGAGAAGGAGGAGGAAGTATTAGGTATGTTCTCTGCCTTGAATTTTTTGTGAAACTAACGAAGGTGGGATTAAAAACAAAAAACCCTAAAAAAAGCAGAGCTCCTACCTTGAAGGCGCTCGTGTATTTCCCCTCAGCACTGACATCGCCTGTCCGGGTCAACAGATTGTCTTTGGGGATCCTCACTTGGTGGAACATGGCAAACCTGGCAGTTTCAAGAGACGGTTGAATTGGGGGGGAGGGGGGGCTCCCGGGCTCAGCACAGACATGGACACCCTCAGCCAGAACAGCACATCCCCCTCCCCACAAGAGCAAGCGTGCCCCACAGTGCGGCTTTCCTCCTTCTGGCCAAAGCAGGGAGACTCCTCGGGACAGAAGAGCCCCTCCCCCGGGTGCCGTTTTTCTGGGAGCAGCTCTCCCTGCTGCCTTTCCTGCAGGATGGATTTTAAGCAGCAACCCAGCCCAGCCTCCCAAAGTCCCTGCAGGCCTCCCACCCAGGGAGACTGGCTGGGCAGCTTCCAAGTCCAGGCAACGCTGGCAGGGAAACACCCTTCAGCTTCAGCCACCGGCCAGTCCGCTCCCACAGAGAGGGTCTCCTCAGGGTGCCATCGGCCAAGTTATGTCGGCTGGCGACACCCAGGAAGAGGGCCTTCTCTGTGGGAGCCCCAGCCCTGTAGAATGAACTGCCCCCGGAAATGCGTAAGATCTCCGACCTCCGTGTATTTTGCTGTGCCCTCAAGACCCTGCTGTTCTGCCAAGCCGGGCTATCAATGTAATGATTTTTAAATTGGGTGTTTTAAATATTTGAGGTTTTAAATCTGAGCCGAAATTATGTAATAATTTTAATTATTTTAATTGATGTTTGTCTTGTGCTTTTAATAGGCCGTACACTGCCCTGAGTCCTTCGGGAGAAGGGCGGTATAGAAATAAAATTATTCTTATTAAAATTATTCTTCAGCTTCTTCATTTTGCTGGCAGGCTTATTTGTTCCCTGTGACTATCATTAAGTGTTGTACCTCATGGTTCTTGATGAACGTATCTTTTTTTTTTATGTACACTGAGAGCCTATGCACCAAAGACAAATTCCTTGTGTGTCCAATCACACTTGGCCAATAAAAAAATTCTGCTCTGTCCTATTCCTATTCCTATTCCTATTCCTCTATTCCATTCCATTCCATTCCTGCCATAAAACTCAGGGGCAGGCAGGGGGAAGGAATCTGGAATAGTAAAGTTCAGGCCTGGGAATGAGAAGATAACCGGCAGAAGGGGAGACACATTGGCAAGAACCAGAGGGACCAACCTGGAATGAACCAGCCGCCAAGGGCAGAATGGCCTGGCAACAGAATGCAAAACTACATCGAGAGGTGCCAAGTATCCAAGACGTTTCCAAAATATCAGAAAGGCATCCTATTGGACACTGATGGACTGGTCAAAGCGGGAGGGCAGGGAAGGGAAAAAGGTGTAAGCTCTGTGCAGGAATACTCAGGTGTAGCTTTCCTTTCTCTGTAACCGCTTAACTTTAGTAAAAGAACCTATCACTTCAACCTAATGGAGTCGAGGGTCTTTCTTTCCTAAGTGCCTATGTCATGGCAGGTCTGACAATGGGATAGGAAAATTTAACAGGTTTTTAAAAAAGGATTCTTGTATTTATTTAGAAGTATCTTGGAATGCTGTTAACACCAGAAAGCCTTGGACGCGGACATTTCTGAAGTTATTCGTTTTTGGGGTGCTTTCGAGTCAGTCTTGGCTGCTTGGAGAAACCCCTCCAATTTTCTTGGCAAGATTTTGAAAGTGGCTCGCCATGAAAAGGAGGGACTGGCCCAAAATCACCCAGCTGGCTTTGTGCCCAACATGAGACCAGAACTCCCGGTCTTCCCAGTTTCTAACCTGGTGCCTTCGCCTTAACCATCACCCTGGGTGGAAATACTGATTTCCTGCTGCTGGAAGATACTTACCCATTATCTAAGCCATTCTGTCCAAGTTTCCTGCCTATGTCACCAACCATCACGCCTGGCATCGGAAGCAGCGTTTTTGGATCTCGAATCTGGAAGCACAGAAGAATGGGAAATTTAAATCAATACATCGATTCATTTTTGTTTAGATCAAGGTGCTACATGTGTACATTTTACTGCTACCATTATCATCGCAAAGGTGCTTTTTCCAAGAGGCAACTGGATTTTCTTGGGGGGGTTTTCTTTGAAAATGTTTCACTTCTCATCCAAGAAGCTTCTTCAGTTATGGAAAAAGCACCTTTGGGAGAACCGTGACCTGGATGATGGAGAATCTCCACAGAAAAAGATTATCGTCTGTTGAAGCTTGCCTCCAAGAAAGCTCACACAGAGAAGTCGGCTGAGTGCAGACCTGGCACAGCCATGCAGAGAGGGTGAAGCTCAGGGGAAGGAGCTCCCCAGGGCCCTGAAGCAAGGAAACAAAGAAGTTGGGAAGGGGACCTGGGGCCATGGCTGCCTGGGACTCTTGCTCCCTGGGGAGACTTCCACCAGGGCCACAAGGCCTTCCTGCCAACGTCAGTCTTCCAGTTCACTTTCATGGCTGGGGGGGGGGGGGGACTTGAACCTGGGTGGATCCGAGTAGCTCAGAATCATGCATGATTGAGTGGCCATAAAACCTACAATTATAGGTGAACAACACAGCACACCTGCGTCTCACTAGGCCTAGAACAACACCTCACCCTCTTGGCTCTCCTGGGCCTCAGTGACCTCATGTCTGAGGCTGGCTTAGAGCAATGAAAACAGGCCAATTTTTGCATGGTCTCATCACAACAGAACAGAGTGGGAAGGGATACTGGAGGTCTTCTAGACCAACCCCCTGCTCAGGCAAGAAACCCTAGACCATTCTGGACAAATGGCTGGCCAATCTCTTCTTCAAAACTTCTAGTGCCAGAGCGCCCACAACTTCTGGAGGCAAGTCGTTCCACTGTCAGGAATTGTTCTCACTGTCAGGAAATTTCTCCTTAATTCCACGTTGCTTCTCTCCTTGATTAGTTTCTATCCATCGCTTCTTGTTCGGCTCCTTCAGGTGCTTTCAAGAATAGGTTGAGCCCCTCTTCTTTGCGATATCCCCTCAAATATTGGAAGACTGCCACCATGTCACCCCTATTCCTTCTATTTGTTACACTAGACCGGGGATCAGCAACCTGCGGCTCTGGAGCTGCATGTGGCTCTTTCACCCCTCTGCTGCGGCTCCGTCACTCAAAATATGCGTCACAACCACCAATGTGCGACACCCGCCGGCATGCAATTTATTGAGTTTTTCAACCCCCAGTAGGCTAACCATGGATAAATCCAAGAAAAGTTTCCGAAGAAAACAGAAAGTTTAATTCAACTACATATGCTAGTTTTGTGGCGGCTCAAGAAGTAGTCAGGCACGGGAAGGGTTTTGTGGCTCCCGGTGTTTTTTCTTCTGTGGGAAATGGGTCCAAATGGATCTCTGAGTGTTTAAGATTGCAGACCCCTGCATTAGACATATCCAATTCCAGCAACGTTTTTTCATGTGTTTTAGTCTCCAGCCCCCTAATCCTCTTGGTTGCTCTTCTCTGCACTCTTTCTAGAGTCTCAAGATCTTTTTTACATTGTGTTGACCAAAACTGGACGTGGCGCTCCAAGAGTGGCCTCAGGCTATCCATTCTGAGGTCGTGGTTCAGCATCGGGCTATAAACCGGGAGATCATGAGTTCTAGTCCAGCTTTAGGCTGGTCCAACTGTGACCTTGGGCCAGTTACTCTCCTTCAGCCCTCGGGGGGAGGAGAAGGCAGCAACGGCAAACCCACTTCCAAAATCTTGCCAAGAAAACCGCAGGGCTGTCAACACTGACGGAAGGCACCAAAGAAACCCTCAAAGCTAGTCTCTCTCTCTCTGTGAGGATGCCTCAAAACGGGACATTATGCTGTGCTGTGGGCGGCATGACCGACCACAGCACGAAGGGAGGGCTCCTGCCGAACCCCGGAGAGCAAAAACACGTCCCTCACCTGCACCACGAAGGAATGCAGCCCCTGGCACTGGCCATCCGGTGTGTAGAGCTGGGCATAGACCACCGCGTGCGTGGCGTTCTTCCCCATGTTGCCAATCCAAAACTTGGCAGCCTCGAAGTCAGGGGAATGAAGGATAAACTCCTGCACAGTTGGAAAAGAGACATTTCATATCCAATGGGAAAAGGAAGTGATTGGCTCTGGCTCTACCTGCGGTCCTTGACCCACAACCCTTCATTTAGTGACCGTTACATCATCAGTGAAAAAAGTGACATGGTCACCTGATGAAAATCCAGGCGCTTGGCAACCGACTCGTATTTATGACGGTTGCCGTATCCAGGGGTCACGTGATCCCCTTTTGTGAGCTTCTGACTGGTAATGTCAATGGGGAAGGCAGGTTCACTTAACGACTGTGTGAGTAGCTTAACTTCTCCAGTGATTCACTTAGCAACTGTGGCCAGAAAAGTCATGAAATGGGGTAAAATCCAACTGTCTCACTTACGGTAGCAACATAAATTTTGGCCTCAATTACTGTTGTAAGTCAAGGTATTTGATATTAGGACCTTTAGACAGAAACAGGAAATATTTCTACGGGAAACCTCACAACTAGCAGCCTTGTTAGCCAACAAAGCCTAGATCTAAATTCTTCCAGCGCAGGGATGTCATGTATATTATTTAAATGAAGCAATTTGAGCTGCTTGCAAGGCCGCAGTTATGTTATTTAATAGATTTTGGTGAAAAACTGACACCCGGTTAGCCAACGAGTCCATTTAAACACAGTTTCACCATCCAATGTCATTATTTTAATAAAACTAAACACTGAGGACTAGAAACCACCGTTGCTGGCCGCTGACAGTCTGACCTGGGTGTCTGGGTCGTATCTAGCAACCGTCCGGATGTTCTTGGTGTTGCTGCCGTGGCTGACTTCAGTCAGTGCAAAGCATCCAAATATCTGTGGCCAAGAGACACAAAAAAGGGAACACCGTCACACAGAAGCATCGTTGCCCCATGGTTCCACTGGGCAGCTCTGAGCTGAGCCTGCCGCTCGCTCGCTCGGGGCTAAAAGGAGGTTTCCAACGTCCAGCAGATCCATTCTTGGTAAGGCACCTGCAGGGGGTGGCCAGGGAAGTGATCACAACAAGGATTTCTTATGTGCATTGCTGGGGGAGCCCGGACTGCAGCGTTGCAACCGGCATCTTCTCTGGCCTTTGGGCAATTCCTAGGCAATTAGAAAAGCTGCAGCACGAACACGGTCAAACTTGAAAAAGGGAATGGCTGCCTATTTTATAGAAGAGTCCTATTGTTATTTCTTATGAAATTAATCTTTCTGCAAAAGCGATGTCAGCAACTTCAAATTTCAAACAATAGAAAAGTAGTACCTCCATGCTTTCAACTTGTTTAACAAATTTTTCATGTCTTTCACATCCGGAACTCTCAATGCTATCCTTGAACACCTACGACATTAACAGAAGCCAGAGGGAAAAAAACAAAAACAAAAAAACAAGCCAATTAAGAATCATAAAATGTTCAGCATAGTTTAAAGGTAAAGATGCGGCACTATTTGCTGCTCAGGTGGAAAGTGCGTTAACTATTCTTCCAGGCAAGGCAGCTTTTTTCCAACAATTTTATTAAGAACTACATTAAACAGATAAAGCGAATAGTACAACAGTACATAAAAAAAAAAAAAAAGAAAAACGTTAGGACAAAATAGCTTCTCGCAATAAAGGTAAAGAGGGAACAGAATACATTCTGGAAGCTGCACTTGCTCTGTGCGTGGAGCAAACAATTGGGCCAGGCCAGCCTGATGGAGCTGCAGTCTGGCTACACTAAAACCACTGATGCCCGTTCAGTGGGCGGGACAAGCTGGGCCCCCCTGGCTCCTCTCTCCTGCCCTGTGCTCTTCCTTCCCCTCCCCTCCCCCCCCTTTGTCTTCCGGGTGGCTGGGGAATTCTGGGAGATGGAGTCCACCCATCTCACAGTTGCAGAGGCTGGGAAACACAGCTGTACAGGAGGGATTTCCGGCCTGAGAGAGAGTTTCACTTGTTCACTGCCCCGAGGGCTTCGGAGGCTTTCGCTCTTTGGTTCCTGGCTCCAGAGCTTTTTCCTCCACCGCCTCCCTTCCTCTTTTAGCTCAGCATGTATCCATCTCATTAAAAAAATGACAGGCAGTCCTTGACTTACGACAGTTTGTTTAGTGACTGTTCAAAGTTACAACGGCACTGAAAAAAGTGACTTATGACTGTTTTTCACAATTACAATCTTTGCAGCATCTCCATGATCATGTGATCAAAATTCAGATGCTTGGCAACTGATTCATACTTATGACAGTTGCAGCGTCCCGGGGTCACGTCATCCCCTTTTGCGACCGTCTGACAGATAAAGTCAATGGGGGAAGCCAGATTCACTTAACAACCGGGTTGCTAACTTACCAATCGCAGTGATTCACTTAACAACTGTGGCCAGAAATGTCATAAAATGGGGCAAATGTCACTTAACAGATTTCTCAGTTAACAATAGAAATTTTGGTCGTAAGTCAAGGACTACCTGTAGAGGGCTTAAGCCTAAACTAGAAAGCATTGCTAATGCTTTCAAAGCAGAATATGGCAGTTTACTCCTTTTATATTTAAATGAGAATAAGCAAAGGTTTTAGTTTGGCAACCTGGCATTGGCAACATCCCATGCTTAAGTAACAAAGTTAATAATTACTGTCAAAGTAAGCATGTAGTTGAACAGCCACCCACAGAAGTTTCTCAACAACAAGGCTAAATAATAATAATAATAATGAGAAAAGGCATCCCGCGGCTTCAGTGTGTCAATTCAGGGAGAACAATTGTACCTACCTGGGAATTGAGCAAATATTTGGTTCCCAGGGACCAATCGTACATCCCCAGGCAGCTGATCATAATGACCACTTTCAAGGGTTTTTCAAGAATCTCCTCCAAGAGTAGAAAATCGTATTCAAACAGCTTCCGACAGCGCCGGAAGGTCAGCTCCCGGTACTTCTCAAGCGACAACTCTTCTCCGGGAACACGAGCAAAGAGAGGGTCGTTCTCAAGAGCTGAGTATATCGTGTGCTTCATGAAAAAAAAGATCAGTCAGTTCCTACATGCAGTATCTACATTCCTAATTTCTGCAGACATTGTAAGGGAATATGAACCAAAAGACACAGAATGCATTTTTCTCCTTCTCCTTCTTCTTCCTGCTCACAAGCCGTGTCTTTGGGACAGTAAAACTCAAGGCAGGACTGGTCTCCAGATGCCACTTTCGGAGCCCTTAGCGCTAAAAAGAAGGGTGAGGATACTTCAAATGCTCCTCTAAGGAACAATTCATGTTACAGCAACTTCCGGGTCCTTAAAAGCTTGAATTTGGTAACAAAATATTGCATGCATTTCCTTTTTTTAGTGTGTGTGTATGAAAACTCTTTTCATCATCACCAACATTTCTGGAGTGGGAGTGTTCTTGGGGCACTCTGAGCTTAATTGTTTCTTTGCAGATAATTTGTAACCCAACCCAAGGAAAGAGGCAGCAAAGACCACAACTACGTGTGCCAATGATATTATCTGAGTAACTAAATGTCGGCAAGCAAACAACTAAAAGCTCCACAATTCAACCCCGAGCCACAAATATTCTGTTTCTGGAAATGCTACAACTGAAACATAAAGCTGGATTGAAATCCTTGCAATGAGGAACTCTGGATATACTCCTGCTATAATGCGGGTGGAAATTTATTTCAGCAAAATAAACACCAAAAATAAAATAAATACTAGAACTCCCAAAAAGCAAGCTTTTTTTGTATATAAATCCCCGACTAAATTCAGAACTTTTATTAGCTGATCAGTATGGCTTTATACCCTTTTCTCTTTCTTGCGCTTTTATCATTCTATTTGATTTCTTTCTTATTTTCTTTTTCTTACATCGGTTTTTATCTCCTTTTTAAAAATCTAGATAAAAATCCAGCCATTATAACTACAAACAGGATAGAGCCGGAAGGGACCTTGGAGGTCTTCTAGTCCAAGCAGACTAAACCATTTCAGACAAGGGAAGCGGCTGCCCACAGATGAGCCCATCTATCAAGATAAAGACCCAAATTGAACACAATATAGGGCGTAAAGAGCTCCCATAAAAATGGCCCTAGATAGGAGCCCAAAGAGCAAGACCAGTCAAAGACGGCCTTTTTTGGAAAAACCAACTTTTCCGGACCCTCTTTGGGGCGACAGGCGGACCAAGGGAGGGGCCAGGCTTCCTTCCTCTCCAATTGTGCGGAGCCTCACCTTAAAACGGATCAGGTCCTCCTCCTCAACGAAGAGGGCCATCTCCTTCCAGTCGAAGGACGCCTTCTTCCGGTAGGCGCACAGGGGTCCTTTGGGGAAGTCCGGGAGCACCAAGGGCTCCGAGGGGCTGGACGGTGCCACTTCCCCGCCCGAAGCCATCCTGATACAGATGCCCGACACTGGGAATCGAACTGAGAATACGGAGAGGGCGTCACAAGAGCTTTGCAGGAAGACAGAGCCGTGCAGATTATCCTCTCCCTGAACTCACACCCTGTGCAAAAGCAGCCTCTCCTCCACGGGGATCATCCTCCGGCTCTGATTTAATCCGACAGGCGGAGTTTCTGAGAGGTTTCTGGCAAACCTTCCCACGCGATCCCACTCAGCTCCTTCTAGGAGAGAGGCTACAGGCAGTCCTCGACTTACAGCAGGCCATTTAGTGGCCGTTCAAAGTTACAGCGGCACTGAAAAAAAATGACCCACGGCCGTTGCAGCCCCTCCGTGGTCACGTGATCAAAACTCAGCCACTTGGCAACCGATTCATACTTACGACCTTTGCTGTCTCCCAGGGTCACCCGGTCCCTTTTTGCCAAGCAAAGTCAACGGCCAGATTCACTTAACAACCAGGCTACTAGCTGAAGACTTGCAGTGACTCACTTAACAACTGTGGCAAGAAAGGTCACAGGGCAAACCGGGGAGCCTCAGCGGTGCCAGAAGGCAGCCGGGTTTGATCCAGCCTGGCAGTAACCAGGGAACTCCTACTTGGGCCACGAAACGTCTGCAAGGAAGACTCGATTAGCCCGCGTCCCACTTAACAGCAGAAGCCTTGGGTTCAACCGTGGACATAAGTCGAGGACTACCCGTATTTGCAGGATGCGTTTAAAGAGACAAAGAACCAGGGAGAGAGAGACTCTGCGGGACCGGAAGCTTTGGGAGAAGCCCCCGCGGAGGGCAGCAGGGAGCCCGGGCGGGCCAAGGAGGAGGCGGGGGCTCCTTCCAGGGGTGGGGGGGGGGGGGGGGGGGGGGGGGAGGGGGGACCTCTCCGCCTGTCCTGAACGAGCCCCCCCCCCCCCCCCCCACCCCCCCCCGGCTGGCCCCCCCCCCCCCCCCCCCCCCCCCCCCCCCTGATCCCGCCCCCCCCCATGCTCAAGGGACCCCCCCACCCTTTTTCTCTTTTCTCCGCCCCCCTGGCGCCCCTCGCTTCCCTGAGACGGAGCCCCTCCCCCCCTCCACCTGCAGCCTCTGGGCGCTCGGCTAGACGACCTCGGGGTCACCCTTCCTCCTCCGCCTCGGGGGCCGGCTCGTCTGCGCGGAGGCGCCCTTTGAGAAGCGGCCAAGAAAGTCCCTGCCCGGCCGCCGTCCCTTCCGTCGCGCCACTGCGCAGGCGCCGGCGGGAGGAGCCCGGAAGCGGAGCCATGGAAGCGGCGGGCACGGCGGCGCTGCGGGACCCTGCGGGGCGCTTGCCCGGCGGCTTCTGGGCGGCGGCGGCCGTGTGGCTGGAGCGGCCGCAGGTGGCCAACAAAAGGCTGAGCGGCGCCTGCGCGGAGCCCCCCCTGCGCGTCCCCCGAGCGGGCGGAGGGGAGGGCCCGGCCGAGCGCGCCTGGGGGGCCTTCTGCGCAGGCGCGGGGGCCGAGGCGCTGGGCCTGCGGGGGCCGCCGGAGCTGGAGCTGGAGCTGGTGCTGCGCCGCCTGCTGCCCCGGAGCCCCCGGAGCCCCGCCGCCCCGGAGCTGGTGGTGAGAGGTGGGCCCGCTTCCCGCTTCCCGCTTCCCCCTCACCTTCCCTGCCCTGCGCTGCCATGGCTGCGGTGCGGCCTCCGCGAGTGGAAGAGCCGCCCGGGTTATTATCTCCCCCCCCCGGGGGTGGGGGCCGGGAGGGAGCAGGGCAGGCCCGTCCCCCGGGGGCGTTCGCTGCCTCGGCTGGAAAGCGGGAGCCGCCTCCGCCCGTGGCGCCCGCCCGTCTCCCCGGAGGAGGCCCCGGTAGGGAAGAGGGCGTGGAGGGGGGGGGGCCCCCCCCCCCCCCCCCCCCCCCCCCCCCCCCCCACGCCGCCCCCCCGGGGCGGGGAGGGGGAGGGGGGCCCCGCCTGGTGCCTTCCTTGCA